ACACAGGTGCCAGGATGCACTCACTCTCAGCTTAATGCAAGGCCAAGTTCGACACTTGAGAATGAGCCCTTCCTTAAAGTCTGTGCTCAGGACACCTGGCTTGCCTCACTGTGGTTCCAGCCTGGTAGACGGTACTAGAGGGAAAAGCACACCCTGCAGGAGGGGAGCGGGCAAGCTGCTCTCTGAGTACTCAGCACACTGTGAAAGGCCAGAAGTGTTGGGTCGGGGCTTCCTGAATGGGGCTGTGCTTCACCAACCCTGCTCAGGGGTACTGAAGGCAACCCCCGAGGACTGTGGGAACTTGGTGCGAGGTGTTGCTAGTCTAACTAGAAAACACCTTTTCTGGCCCAGCATGGATAAAGGCTCCTAGACAATCCATCGCTGGACATCTGCTCTGCTGAGCTCCAGCTGTGGCACCTTCAGGCTCTACTGCAGGTTTAGGTAGAAGCTCTGCTGTTTCTGTGCTGCTCCCACCAACGACTGAAGACGGTCGGGGAACCAGAGTTAGGCCATTCTTGCCCAACAAGTAGGCCTCCACTGGGCAGCCTTACTCCCCGCCAACGCTCACAGCTGCACCGCTCTCTGTGGCACTTCCTGTCCAGTCTTACTTCCTCCCCTTCCTCCTTCCACAACATCAGACTTGTATCACAGTCTGAGGCTCTTCCTGCAGACTCCTGCCCCCTCTCTTTTATTCTTCATAAGGGTCTTCCTCAATAAATCTCTTGCACGTCTAGTTATGGCTTGATCTTAGCTCTTGGAGGAACGAGAGTGACACAAGAGTCGTCTCCCCACCACCGTGTAAGAGAGGTTTGTCTTGGTTACAGTCTTTATGAGAGAGATCCAGGGAGAGATTCGAGAACTAGTTGCTATAGGAAATGTTTCAACTAGCAGGAGAATGACATCTGAAAGTGTTATTATCCTCAAGGAGATCCGTATTCAGAGATTGAAGCTTTGTAGAACACAGTGCAGGCTCTGCTCAAAGGCAGGATGGTGGGTGGGTTAGTTGGACATCACAGTCTACACATATGATGCCGCTGGAATGAAGGAGCAAGTTTGGCTTCTTACTTTTTGGTGTTCAGGAGACAGCTTCAGATGCTCATTGACTTCTTTTATGGAGTGGACAACGAAGGGGGAAACCAGGAAGTTTCTCCCATAGTCCTCTGCTGAGTGGTACAAACCAAGCTGCTTGTTAACTGATGGCCACTTAGCATGAACCATGTGCCTTAATGCCGTGTGTCGGGAAATGGCAGTTTCTGGGTAAAGTCCCAATCTGGAGGGTCTTGTTGCAAATTGTGGAATTCCAAGCAGCCCAATACAATATAATGGTGGAAAAGGGGGCCCATAGGTGGTTGTGAACTTGTCAAGAATCTTGTCAGTTTACAAGATGCACTGAGAAACCAAAGCTTGAGCTTGTCATGAACATTTTATTCATCACAGAACAGTTTTGAAGGGGAGGCAAGGATCTGCTTGGTCCTAGGGCAGTTACCACCAAAACCAAATCCTCAGTAGTGCTTTGAGAGAGTGGGAGAGGAGCTTCACCTGTGCCATCAATCAGAAGCAGGGGGATTGATTATGGGCAGGAAGCTAGGATGGGGAGATGACATCATCACTTCTGGGTAGGACCCTGCATGTGCCTAACGTAACCGAGGGGAAGCGATGCCCTTCCTGCAGCCCTTTATCCAGGAACCATACGTAACAAGCCTGCGGATGGTGTAAGGGGTATGTGGACAGTATGAGAAATCAGTTTCTTAATTCTGAACCATAGGGTATCTGGGAGTTTATCTTCATTTGGGATTCCTCAAATCAGGAGCTGAGACAAAGATTTGGTGGCAGGTAGTATTTGGGATGTGATTCGAGGAGGCCAAAGTGAAGAAGCAGAAAGAGCTAAGGAAGGGAGAAGCTCCCATAAAAGCTGGGTAGTGCTGTAGGCAGCTGGGCAGGGCAGGGGGTTGGGTGAGTTGAGAGAGTCACCTAATGCACAAAAATTAAGGGGGCACTTACTCTCAGGTTTGTGAAAAGCTGGCCCTACGACCAGAGCTCAGACTTTCTAGGGCTTCTCTGATCAACCTGACTTGGAAATGTCCCTCTGAGGCCTAGGAGGTTGGGTATTTACTTGTCTCCCAACTATTGTCTGGCACTGGTTGAGAGTTGTGCTCAAGGCTGTCAACATCTCCCTTCTCTCTGCACATCTGGGCTGCTGTGCCTGTGCACAGAAAAAGCTCAGTGACTTTGGAGAAAACCCTGAGACAAGAAAGCTGCATGGTTGTATTCAAAGTCAGATGAGGCAAGGACTGTTGTGTAGTGTGTAGTAAGCGCCTGCTCTAGGGTCACAATGGTAGGATCCAAGCATGGCCCCCCACCCCAGATGGATTTTGGAGGGGCTGCCCTCCAGTCTGTGAACCGGTCAGAGTGCTGAATGTGTCCAGGGAGGAACCTGTATGTGGTAGATGTTCTTCTGCACGTGAAGTACAGCGTCCCCCCCCCCCCCCAAATGCCTACACTCAATGGGGAGGGGTCACAGCATTGCCCTTTCTGTGAACTACCCTGGGGCACATTGTGGCAGGATGGGTTCTCTGATTTGCTCCTCTGTTATTTTTCTGCTTCTCTCAGTGGGCAGAGAGGACATTTTTATCCCCTTCAGACTCACTTGGTAGATCCTGAGGCAGAACTCTTTATTCCCATTGTACAGACAAGGAAAGTTGTTCAGAGCGGTTGTGCCATATGAGCAAGGGAAGGCCTGAAATCAAATTGGAGTCCTCGGCCCTCTCTTCCAGAGCTCAGTCCAGAGCACCATACTGCTTGCCTGATGAGATGCGTGTTTTTGTGTGGCTCATTTGCAGACATTTTCAGCTTCCAAGTGATTCTGGGGCTTCCTGTTCTAACTACAGGAAGCATCATTATTCAACAGGCACAGACACATGCCTTTATATTGCTTTATAATGTAAGTGAATCTGCAAGCAGGAGCAGCCACATAGCTAATAATTTAGTTCTGGTCAGGAAAGAAAAGGGTGCCCCTCATGCATACCCCTTTAGCGTGCGTTATCTTTGTGCAGTGAGTCATACAGACCGAGTTTTGTTGTTGCTGTTGGCTCTGTTGTCAGAATCGGTGTTTCAAAGAGTCAACAGTAGACATGAATGTTCTTGGTATAGATTTGCTGTCCACAGGCAAACCCTGCCTTTCTCTGCCTCAACTCCTGATGATTCGTTTGGGGTCCCTGAAGAGAACACACTTCATATTTCTGCCTCAGGGAATGTATGAGTGATTTTCTGGAGACAGAGGGCACTGCTGATATTTAGGTTCTGGGAACTATTTGTCTGGAGGAAAAGGACTTGGACTTGTCACCACGGATGAAGATGGGAGCTGACATCCTAGTCCGTGGTTGGGGGTTTTATCTGAGCGTACTTAGCGACTTTAGTTAATTTGTTTGAGAGACCCCAAAATCCACAGTTCAGGTTCCCATTTGGCACAGCCTCCCCCCAGTCTCTCTGCCCCCAACTTCAGCTTCCCCGTGGTTTATCACTGTAGCCAAAGGGATTTCTAGAAAACACAAATCCAACTAACTTGAGCCTTCATCGGGCATTTTTGCCTGCCCAGCAACCTTCTTCCTATTTGGTAAGGGTGCCTTAACTTGTTTTTGGTGTGTGTGCATTTCAGGAGCGGGGGTGGGGGCGTGGGGGGGATGGGGGTTGGGGGGATGGGGGCGGGAGGAGGTAATTGACTTCCGGCTTTTGGAGCTGTCAATCAAAGTGCTCTTCCCCTCCCTTGCTGGTGCTGGGCCACTCAAATCCCTGACTGGACAGCCACAGGAAAAAGACTGGAACTGATTGGTGTTGACCTCCTGAAGAGATTGTCTTTAGGTGTCTATTGCCCAGAAATCTATCCAGACCTGGTTAAGCATTTACTTCCATTCTGAGCTACTCTGTGGCCCTCCAGGAAATTTGTTTGATGTTGGAATTGATGTCTGTTGCTTGTAACCAAGTAATTCTGACATAGAAACTGATACCTGGAGATGAGTGTTACTATTAATATACCTCAAAGTGTGGCATTGGCCAGGTTGAGATGTGGTAGGATACTGAGACTCTCTTATGACCAGATCTGAATTTGGAAGTTTCTGTTATGCTTTTAACTACACCATATTGTATGTGGAGACTCAGATCAACTGCCCTTTGCAGCAAGAGTTTAAGGGACTGCATAGAAAAACGCTAGGATTTGGAAAGACACGGGCTCCTTCCTGCAGGCTTGCTAGAGGCACATAAAGAAAGACAAACTTCGCCTCAACTGGCCCACGTGAAAGCAGAAAGGGAGGCCTTTTCTGGCTATGACTAGTAACCTAAGGTCTTAGAGTCTTAGATTTTGGAGAGTGGAAAGACAAATTTCTGTCCGAGGCTAATATTGCTAGAGAAAGGGCAGGGGGGTTGGAAACTGCTGTGTGCTGGAGCCAGTTCATACTGCCTCAGGTCAACTGCGCACACCTCTTCCCAGTTCTGCCTTCAGGGATGTCATGTTGGTATCTTGACACGGGCCATAGTGGGAGTATTTATACCAGATATATCAGAAAGTGCTACAAATCAGAGATTACTCCCTTTAAAGAGCTAGTTGTTAAACATTTACCAGCATACCAGTGATCGGAAACATAGAGATGAGGGAAAGAATGGAAGCTGGGAGAAGCCTGACACCCTTTCCCACATCTCGCCCCCTGAATGACCCTGCCCCTGCACTCCCTAGAGAGCAAAGGAGACACGACTCCAACTTTTAGAGCTGCCCAGTGCGATACAGACTGGGAAGTGGCAGATGAGATGTGCCTCCACACCCACGACAATCGTTTTTCAATATCTGTGTGCAGTGGCTGGGTGAGACTAGGAAGAAGGCCATTCAGCTGAGGACTGCACATGGCAGTGGTGGTGGGGAGCAGTGGTATCCAATCCAAAGTTTAGACTGAAGGACCATAACCCAACAAAAACTACTGAGTTGGTAAAATGCAAAAGATGGAAGTCATAGCAGTGTTTTAAGGGGTTTGTATTGTCAGAGGCACTTCAGTCCAGGCAAATGGCGCCTCATGAATGCTCAAACCTGAAGACAATTTCTGTAGTACACTGATGTCATGGAAAGTGCAATAAGCTGCCCATTCCTTAGAAGTCTCCTTCCAATGCTCCTTCTTATGACACAGTAGGACAGTGGGTGAGGAATTCTCCTAGAAATAGAACCAGGAAATCCCTCCACTGTCAGAACTGGGAGAACATGCTTCAAGGTATACTGTGAGCTTGTACTTTTGGATGTGGTTTCTACTTTTCTGAAGAGGGATAACATGTTTCTCTTATATTATTGTATATCAGATGACTAACCTTTGGGCGGTGGGCCATGAGAAGCTAGCTATGGACTGATCAAGAAGAAAGCATGTCACTCATTTTCCAAATGTTGTGAATCTACTTTGACACCATTCTAGGTCCAGGGGATCTATCAGTGAGCAAAGTAGGTAGAGTCCTTTCTCCCACAGAGCTTACATTCCGGGGGGGAAGACAGACGGTGAGCAAGTACATATATGATATCCAGGAGGGTGCTGAGCGCTATGGATTATAGCTGGTAATTTGACAGGTGGTCAGGGAAGAACTGAAGAGAGTGTAAGAATGAGCCGTGTGGATATACTGGCTGAGGGAAAAGCAAATTCCAAGGACCTTTTTACCAAGGCAAGAGCATGCCTGGTGTGTTTAAGGAAGAGCAGGAAGGACGGTGTGGCTGAAGCACAGAGAATGAGGAGTGAGAACCGGATTATGTAAAACCATTGTAATGACGTCTACTCGGAAAACCAGCATAGGTGCCATGGTTGGATTTTTTGACCCTGGCTGCTGTTTGGGGAGAATAGACTGTTCAGGATAACAGTAGAAATGGGGGGGGGGGCAATTGGGAGGCTATGGGAATAACGCTTGTGAGGGATGGTGATGATTTGGATAAAGTTGACGGTAGTTAAGGTGGTAAGAAGTGGTCAAATCCTGAATATGTTTTGGAAGTAAAGTTGTCAGGATTTGCTGATCTCCTATTATTCAAATAGACTTCAGTTGAAGCTGGATGCATTAATAGGACAAGGCTCTGGGCTGCTTTTCTTTGGAAAGAGGGGGAGTGCAGTTACACGTGGGATGGCTGCATTATGTTAGGAAGGCGTTTTTGACACTGCATGTCTGGAAAGAAGAACGCATGCTGATGTTGGGCAGTTCAGGGGTGGACAGGGTGGGAGCTATTGTTTAATCCTGTTCATCATACATTCTCTCTTCTTATGGCCACATAACTTTTCTATTTGGGAACTGCTCCCAGCTCAGCTGTGGCTCCCAGGGTGAGCACATGATCCAGTCATGGTCAATGAGTTGCATGCCTGGACAGTGTTTGCTTAGGGAAAGGGATGGGACATGACATTGGCCAATGACATACCTCCATGGGAATTTTGCTGGAATTATTGTGAAGGAGTCATTTCCCTTCTGAGGTCATAGATGTAAAGGACTTGCAGGGTAACATTTTGCCACTACATGGAGAGAGATTGTTGAGGACGGAGCCAATACAGAAGAAAGCAGAATCCGGAAGGAGAGAGATAATATCCTGTTGCATCATTTGAACTCCTGGACCCAGGTCGGTCTGAATCCAAAGGCTTGGCTTCCTGTTTGGTAGATGAAAATGTTTTTTTATCCCCATAAACTAATTTGGGTTGGATTTCTATCACTTGTAACCAGGGTTGATAATATTCTACCAGTATGCATGAGTGTAACAAAACATTTCTGCACCTATTGGTAAATAGCTGCTGCCTCAAGTGCTCCCCACCCCTTCCCTGGCTGCCCTGGCCCTTCTTTTGGGACCTTTCTCTAGACTTTTCCTTGATACGACAGCTGAAGGGTTAGTACCTGGCACAACAGGGGCCTCCAGAAGGCTGCTTTAGCAATATGGCCAGTCCTGGTTGGTGCCCTGTGTCACACAGGCTAGTAAGTGTTTTAATGTCACCCGTGGTACCATCCAAAAGAATTCAGAGAGTTGCACAATTCTGTCCCCATTGTGATCATATCACGCCCTCATTTCCTGCTGGGCTTGGCTCAAGCTAGTTTGGTTACATTTGCTCAAACTATTCACCTTCTTGCACATCTCCTTTGTCTTCTGCATTTGCTATTCATTTTCTCTACAATTTCCTTTTTTATTACCCATTACAGTCATACCTCAGAGACGTTACAGGTTTGGTTTCAGACCATCACAATAAAGTGAATATTGTAATAAAGTGAGTCAGATTAATTTTTTGGTTTCCCAGTGCATATAAAACTTATGTTTACACTATATTGTAGTCTATTAAGTGTGCAATGGGATTATGTTTTAAAAACGTACATACCTTAATTAAAAATTACTTTGTTGCTAAAAAAGGCTAACCATCATTCTAGCTTTCTTTTTTTTAATAGTTTATTGTCAAGTTGGTTTCCATATAACACCCAGTGCTCATCCCCACAAGTGCCCTCCTCCATGCCCATCACCCCCCTTCCACTCCCCCCCATCAACCCTCAGTTTGTTCTCAGCATTCAAGAGTCTCTTCCCCACTATTTTTTTGCCCCTTCTCCTCCCCCATGATCCTCTGTTAAGTTTCTCCTGATCCACTTATAAGTGAAAACACATGGTATCTGTCCTTCTCTGCCTGACTTATTTCGCTCAGCATAACACCCTCTAGTTCCATCCATGTTGCTACACAAGGCCAGATGTCATTCTTTCTCATTGCCATGTAGTATTCCATCGTATAGATAAACCACATCTTCTTCTCCTTCTTCTTTTTTTTTTTTCTAAAGAGAGCATGAGCAGGGGAGGGTCAGAGAGAGAGGGAGACACAGAATCAGAAGACAGGCTCCAGGCTCTAAACTGTCAGCACAGAGCCCAACGCGTAGCTCAAACCCACAAACCACGAGATCATGACCTGAGCCGAAGTCAGACGCTTAACCGACTGAGTCACCCAGGTGCCCCATAAACCACATCTTCTTGATCCATTCATCTGTTGATGGACACTTAGGCTCTTTCCATGTTTTGGCTATTGTTGAGAGTGCTGCTATGAACATTGGGGTCCATGTGCCCTTATGCATCAGCACTCCTGTATCCCTTGGGTAAATTCCTAGGAGTGTTATTCCTGGGTCATAGGGGAGTTCTATTGTTAATTTTTTGAGGAACCTCCACATTGTTTTCCAGAGGGGCTGTACCAGTTTACATTCCCACCAACAGTGTAGGAGGGTGCCCGTTTCTCCACATCCTCGCCAGCATCTAGAGTCCTCTGATTTGCTCATTTTAGCCACTCTGACTGGCGTGAGGTGGTATCTCAGTGTGGTTTTGATTTGTATTTCCCTGATGAGGAGGGATGCTGAGCATCGTTTCATGTGGCTGTTGGCCATCTGGATGTCCTCTTTGGGGAAGTGTCTGTTCATGTCTTCTGCCCATGTCTTCACTGGATTGTTTTTTTTTTCAGGTGTGGAGTTTGGTGAGTTCCTTATAGATTTTGGATACTAGCCCTTTATCTGATATGTCATTTGCAACTATCTTTTCCCATTCTGTCAGTTGCCTATTAGTTTTATGGATTGTTTCCTTTGCTGTGCAGCTTTTAATTTTGATGAGGTCCCAATAGTTTATTTTTGCTCTTGATTCCCTTGCCTTTGGGGATGTGTCAAGTAATAAATTGCTGCAGTGGAGGTCAAGCAGGTTGTTTCCTGCTTTCTCCTCTAGGGTGTTGATGGTTTCCTGTCTCACGTTCAGGTCCTTTATCCATTTTGAGTTTATTTTTGTGTATGGTGTGAGAAAATGATCTAATTTCATTCTTCTTCTGCATGTTGCTGTCCAGTTCTCCCAGCACCATCTGTTAAAGAGGCTGTCTTTTTTCCATTGGATACTCTTTCCTGCTTTGTCAAAGATTAGTTGCCTGTATACTTTTGGGTCCAATTCTGAGTTCTCAATTCTATTCCATTGGTCTATGTGTCTGTTTTTGTGCCAATACCATACTGTCTTGATGATGACAGCTTTGTAGTAGAGGCTAAAGTCTGGGATGGTGATGCCTCCCATTTCGGTTTTCTTCTTCAATATTACTTTGGCAATTTGGGGTCTTTTGTGGCTCCATACAAATTTTAGGATAGTTTGTTCTAGTTTTGAGATTTTTTTTGTTTTATTTTTTTTTGTTTTTTTTTTTATTTTTTTTTTTTTTTTGGTTTTTATTTTTTTTTTATTTTTTTTATTCTTCCAATCCATGAGCATGGAATGTTTTTCCATTTCTTTGTGTCTTCTTCAATTTCTTTCATAAGTTTTCTATAGTTTTCATCATACAGGTCTCTTATATCTTTGGTTAGGTTTATTCGTAGGTATTTTATGTTTTTTTTTTTGTGCAATTGTGAATGGGATCCATTTCTTGATTTCTCTTTCTGTTGCTTCATTGTTGGTGTATAAAAATGCAACCGATTTCTGTACGTTGATTTTGTACCCTGCAACTTTGCTGAATTCATGGATCAGCTCTAGTAGGCTTATGGTGGAGTCTGTCGGTTTTTCTATGTAGTGTATCATGTCGTCTGTGAAAAGTGAAAGTTTGACTTTTCATTCTAGTTTTCAGTGAGTCATCTTTTTGCTGATGGAGGACCTTGCCATAATGTTGATGGCCATTTACTGCTCAGGGTGATGGTTGCTGAAGGCTGGGGTGATTATGGTGATTTCTTTCATTTTTTTTTATATTTTAGAGAAAGAAAGGGAGAGAGAGAGAGAGAGAGAGTGAGAGAGAGAGAGTACGGGTGGGGTAAAGGAATGGAGGGAAAGAGAGAGGATCCCAGGTAGGCTCCACACTGATGCAGGGCTCAATCCCACGACCTTGGGATTGTAACCTGAGCTGATACCAAGAGTTGGACGCCTAACCAACTGAGCCACCCAGGTGCCCCAGTGGTTTCTTAAAATAAGACAACAATGGCATTTGCTGCATGGATTGACTTTCTTTCATGAATGGTTTCTCCGTAGCATGTGTTACTGTTTGATAGCATTTTATCCACAGTGGAATTTCTTTCAAAATTGAAGTCAGTGTTCTCAAATCTTGCTGCTGCTTTATCAACTAAGTTAATGTCATAGTTTAAATCCTTTGCTATCATTTCAACAATCTGCACAGCATCTTCACCAGGAGTAGATTCCATCTCAAGAAACTGCTTTCATTGCTCATCCACAACAAGCAACTCCTCACTCGTTCAAGTTGTATCATGAAATTGCAGCAATTCAGCCCTGTCTTCAGGCTCCACTTCTAATTCTAGTTCTCTGGCTATTTCCACCGCATATGCAAGTACATCCTCTGCTGAAGTCTTGAATCCCTCAAAGTCATCCATAAGGGCTGGAATCAACTTCTTCCAGGATTCAACATTCCTGTTAATGTTAATGTTTTAACCTCTTCTCATGAATCACAAATGTTCCTAATGGCATCTAGAATGGTAAATCCTATCCAGAAGGTTTTAAATTTACTTTGCCTGGATCCATCACAGGAATCACTGTCTACGGCAGCTATAGCCTTGTGAAATGTATTTCATTCTTTTTTTTTTAAAGCGAGGGAGGAAGGGGATGAGGAAGGGGTTACAGAGGATCCAAAGCAGTCTCTGTGCTGACAGCAGCGAGCCCGATGCGGGGCTTGAATTCATGAACTGTGAGATCATGACCTGAGGTCAGACGCTCAACTGGTTGAGCCACCCAGGTGCCCTGAAATGTATTTCTTAAATAATAAGACTTGAAAGATGAAATCATTCCTTGACCCATGGGCTGAAGAATGGATATTGTGTTAGCAGGCATGAAAACAACATTAATCTCATTGTCCATCTCCACCAGAGCTCTTGGGTGACGAGGTGCATTGTCACTGGAGCAGTAATACTTTGAAAGGAATCTTTTTTTCTTCACAGTAGGTCTCAACAAGAGGCTTCAGATAGTCGGTAAACTGTGTTGTAAGTAGATGTGCTGTCACCCAAGCTTCTTGTTCCATTTACGAGCTCAGGCAGAGTAGATTGAGCACCATTCCTGGGGGCCCTCGCATTTTTGGATAGTAAATAAGCATTGGTTTCAACTTAATATCACCAGTTGCATTAACCTCTAATAAGGGTCACTCTGTCCTTCGAGGCCAGGCACTGACTTCTCTTCTCTTGCCATGGAAGTCAGCACTCTTGCTAAGTGGCATCTTCTTCCAGTAGAAGGCTATTTTGTCTACATTGAAAATCTGCTGTTTAGTGTAGCCACCTTCATTAAGTATCTTGCTAGATCTTCTGGATCACCTGCGGCTTCACCTTGCATTCTGATGTTATGCAGATGGCTTCCCCCCTTAAACCTCATGAACCAACCTTCGCGAGCTTCAAACTTTTGCAGCTTCCTCATCTCTCTCAGCCTTCCTAGAATCGAAGAGAGTTAGGGCCTTGCTCTGGAGGAGGCTTTGGCTCGAGGGAATGTTGTGGCTGCTTTGATCTTTTGTCCAGACCAATAAAACTTTCTCCATATCAGCAATAAATCTATTTTGCTCTCTTATCATTCCTATGTTCACCAAAATAGCACTTTTAAAATCCTTCAAGAATTTTTCCTTTGCAGTCACAAGTTGACTAACTTTTTCATGCCAGAGGCCTAGCTTTCAGCTCATCTGAGCTTTCAACATGCCTTCCTCCCTAGGCTTAATCATGCTTTTGACTTAAGGTGAGAGACGTGTGAACACTCAGAAGCCACTGAAGTGTTACTGAGCGGCTGAGTTTCAATATTGTTGTTGGGGGAGGAGAGAGATGGGGGAAGAGCCAGTCGGCGGAGTAGTCAGAACACACACATTGATCAAGTTTGCTGTCTTCTATGGGCACGGTTGGTGACACCCAAAACAATTACAAAGTAGCATTGATGATTACTGAATAGGATCACCATAACACAGATAATAACAATGAGAAAGTTGAACATGTCACGAGAAAAGCCAAAATGTGACATAGAGACATGAAGTGAGAAAAAGCTGTTGGAAAAATGGCACCAATAGATTGCTTGATGCAGGGTTACCACAGACCTTCAATTTGTAAAAACAAACACACACACACACACACACACACACACACACACACACACAAACCCAACCCCAAACACCAGCGTTTGTGAAGTGCCATAAAGTGACACACACAAAACAAGCTAAGCCTGTAAGGGACTCCTACTCCTTCTTTTATAACTCAGCTCAGATCATCCAAGTCCAAGATAGAAACACCACAATTCAGAGTAGCAGATAGTAATTACTTCTGTGAAGAAGGAGGAGAATCTAAACGAAACCATTATGTTTTTTAGATGATGAGCTTTAACATACACACAGAAAAGAACATTAGCTACATATGTTTATCTTAACACTCAAGGCGACACTCAAAGAGAACCACCTAGGTGGTGAATTAGAACGATGGCAAAGACCCAGTTGCAAACGCTTGTACGTTTAATGGACTAAAAAGTCAGGGTTTCATACTGTAGGGCGGGAAACCTGAGTGATGGGTATATCTTCAACTCTTCGGGCAAAGTTAAACCTTTTCAGAACGGTTGTGCCAATTTAATTACTTTCTAGAGGTGCAGTTCTTGTTGCTTGACATCTTTGCCAACACTTGATATTTGTTAGACTCTAAAAGCTTGGCAGATCTGATAAATGGTATTTCGCTATGGTTTTAATTTGCATTTCCCTGATTACTAATTAGGTTGTGCACCCTAATGTTTCTCAGTTATTCAGATTTCTTCTTTCATGAAGTATGTTTTTAAGTCTCTTGCCAGTTTTCTACAGTGTTGTCTATTTTGTATTGATTTGTAGAAATTAATGGAAGTCTCCTCTGAACATTAGATTTTTATTGGATCTAAGTGTTTTAAATATTTTTTCCACTCTATACTTTGTGTTTTTGCTCTTTTTTAAAAAAGTTTTTTATTTATTTAAGTAATCTCTACACCCAACGTGGGGCCTGAACTCATGACGCTGAGACTAAGAGTTGTACGGGGTACCTGGGTGGCTCAGTCGGTTAAGCGTTCGACTTCAGCTCAGGTCATGAGCTCACGGTTTGTGGGTTCAAGCCCTGCATCAGACTCTGCACTGACAGCCAGCTCAGAGCCTGGAGCCTGCTTCAGATTCTGTGTCTCCCTCTCTCTCTGCCCCTCCCTGCCTCAAGCTCTGTCTCTCTCTGTCTCAAAAATAAATCAACATAAAAAAAAAAAAAAAGAGTTGTACGCTCTTCCCATTATGCCAGTCAGGCACCACAGCCTGTTCACTTTTTTAATATCTATTTTAATGACCTGATGTCCTAAATTTTAATGTAGCCAAACATATAAGTCTTTTCTTTATTCCGTGGTCATGTAGTTATTTTCCTTTATTATCTTCTAAACATTTTATAGATTTGCCTTTCACATTTTGGTATACGTGAAATTGATTTTTAAATACAGTTTTAGGTAGGGATCCAATTTTGTTTCATTTCTCATGAAGATACAATTGTCCTAATGCCATTTGTAGGAAGGTCATCTTTTTCTCACTGCTATGTTATGTCATTTTCTAGCTTTTGGTGGTTACCAGTAATACTTGGCATTTCTTGGCTTGTGGCCACGTCACTCTAATTTCTGCCTCTGTCTTCATAAGGCGTGTGTGTGTGTGTGTGTGTGTGTGTGTGTGTGTTTTCACATGGCATTCTCCTCTCTGAGTGTCTATATCCAAATTTCCCTCATGTTTTAAAGATATTCATCATTGCATAAGGACCCACTTAAATCCATTATTACTGCATCTTAATTTGATTATATCTACAAAGACTCTATTTCCAAATAAGGCCATGTTTGCAGGTTCCATGGGTTAAAACTTCAACATGTCTTTTTCAAGGGTGGGGGTGGGGAACAATTCAACTCACAGCCTGGGGCAAAAAATGGATACTTTGAGAATAGTATCATCTACTTAATAAAACTAGTCTGTTGATTGGGTACATTTAATTCTTCCACATAACATATGAACATAAACCATTCCCCAAGTTCTCTGTCCATCCAGTTGTCTTAGATGGCATTTTAACTGAATTCATGGGATTTAGATGTTGAAGAAGTGGCACCATCAACATCTGTGCTCCCTGGTTCAGAGAAACCAGGGAGGAAGAGCCATTTTGTTGAACCACCCTTCAGATACAAACCACACACCCAGCGAACATCTGATCTGTACTGGGACAGCCCATGCCCTCCGCTATTCCATCATTACCTCATTAACCTCCATCGGTAGGTGCCGGCAACCCCCAACAAGCATCTTGAAAGCCACTTTGGCCTCTGACGGGCCAACAGTGACAGAGAAAGGAGATCAAGGCCTCAGAAAATCTGTATCCATGAGGCAAGTATGGAGGCCTAGTCTCCAGGCTTTGTAATTATATAAGTGGGAAATCTCAAGAAGGGATTAAATGTGTATATCAACAAATTGACCTGATCCTTGTTATTGTGACAGGAAACATCCCAGGGCTAATAGATCATGGCTGTGATTAAGATCCTTTATATCCTATGTTGTCACATGAGCTCCTTCCTCACCTTCATCTTTTTTTTTTTTTTTTAATTTTTTTTTTTTAAAGTTTATTTTTTTTATTTTTATTTTTTTTTTTAATATTTTTATTTATTTCTAGGAGAGAGAGAGAGACAGTGTGAGCAGGGGAGGGTCAGAGAGAGGGAGTCACAGACTGAAACAGGCNAGAGAGAGAGGGAGTCACAGACTGAAACAGGCTCCAGGCTCTGAGCTGGCAGTCAGCACAGAGCCCGACGCGGGGCTCGAACCCACGAACCGCGAGATCATGACCTAAGCGAAAGTCGGACGCTTAACCGACTAAGCCACCCAGGCGCCCCTATTCCTCACCTTCATCTTAAGACCCTTCACATTCTTTGGTCTGAATATTATCTTCTGACAACCCTTTCTTCACTCACTGCTTAAGTCCAATTAATCGTTTGAGGCTTAGTTGCCATTATCTCTTGTAGTTAGAGCATGTCTGTCATATGACAGTTACTTAACATTTGTAGGACAAATTTCAGAGAACAGTGACCATACCTTTTATCTCTCAGATCATCTTTTTCAAAATGTCCCTTTTCTTTTGATTATACTTATAATGGAGTCTTGGCCCAAGGGAAATGTGAAAACCTTCCCTCTTAAGGTCTGACTATGGGATGTGAAACAGGTTTTGGAATGTATCGGAAAGCCACCTCCTGAGCCACACAGCAGAAAAGTCTGGCCATTGCAGCTTCAGGAGAGAGTGTTTTCCTCGTTTAATTGGAACGGAGTGTGACTGAGTCCTGTAGCAGGAAGTACAAGGGCCATAGAGGGTATCCATTTTGTCTCCCACCTTCCACCAATTTTACAAGAGGGGAAACTGAGGTTCAGAGGGGAAGGAGTGTGGTGCAGGTAGCACGGCAACTGGTGGAGTGTTTGGGATTAGAACAAACTTTCAGGACAGTGTTACTTCCTGCCCCATCCAGATTCCAGCTCAAAATCATATCAGGAAACCCGAAAGTGAAGATATGGTTTATGACGCATGTTAGTATCATAGAATTTTTTTAAATGATGCCATAAGATAGAACATTGGTCTTCATATACCTTTAAAAATATTAATTTTAATGGATATCTGAAAGGCCTGTCATGACACAGACCACAGATGTTACCCTGGGCAGGAACAATTGTCTGGCAACTCTCAACATGCAGTCATGCAGAATCCTAAATAGCATTGTCCATCTCCATGTGTTGCTTCACAGAGGACTGCCTTGGACCTTCAGCAACATCCTTGCCATACATCTTTGGAAGTTCTGGTCCTGAGAAGTTTGTCACAGTAAGTGTAAGCTCTGGTCACGGTTAAAATAAAAGGACCAGGGACATTTTCTGGAAAGTAAGAGAAAACGTCATCTGATACTGAAATTCAAAAGGGTAGTCACAGTGGAGATGCTCTTGGCTTCTGACTCCCGTGGGTGTATGAGGGCCTCTGCAAAGGTGGGCACCAATTGCATTCTCTGCCCAGTTCTGACACTGACCGGTGGCATGCATTGGTGAAGTGGTAGCTGGGTGCCACCTGTAGTGGGAAAGTTATCACAGAGCAGAAGGTCATATCAGAACTGATTAGGTCCGTGCCAGAGTGTCCTCACTAGGGCCCAGGGGCAGTTGCTTTCTTACCGGTAGCTTCATCTTCATTCTGCATTGAGCTAGATGTGCTCATGCTGACTTGATTACTAAGGCCTCTGGTGACACTGTCATAAGATGGTGGGAAAGAAGCAGCGGATGCACTTTCAGATTTGTCTGGGAATGCACAGTTTTCGCTTGCCACGAATCCAACAAAGCCTTCATCTGGGAGTGACACAGCCTCCTCCTCAGCTCTGGGCACAGCTGGAGGGTTGGAGACCGTCTTGGAGCGGTGCAGCACGTAGCTCCGATAGGCTTTTTGAATGACAGTAGCTGAAATGTCTTCTTGCTTCCACCGGAGGGTGGTTGCTATTGGTTCATAGGATGCTTTTGAAACATTGGTTGCCATAAACTTCTCTTCGATATTTGCCTTCAGAGAATCCAATTCCCCAGATTCTCCCAGAACATTCTTAGTAAAGGCAAAAAGAATGTCCAAACAGTGGATCTTATCTCCAGGGACCAGGGGCAGGTCCATCTGGATTAAGATATTCTGATTGGGTTTTGGGATTCTCAGGGGGCCAGAGAGGGTGTCTGCAAAGTCTGAGAGGGCAGAAAAGGTAATAAACTGAGTGGCTTCTGGGTCAAACTTCTCCCAGGTCTCATAAAACATGTCAAAGTCGTCCTCGCTCAGGGGCTCGGTGCTCTCCTGTGTGGCCACATTGAAGTTCTCTAGAATCACTGCGATGTACATGTTGACCACGATGAGGAAGGAGATGATGATGTAGGTGGTGAAGAAGAGGATGCCCACGGCTGGGCTCCCACAGTTCCCCCGGGAGCCGTTGCTGTTGGGCAGATTGGGGTCGCAGTAGGGGGGGCCCGTGTTGAGGATGGGGCTGAGGAGGCCGTCCCAGCCCGCCGACGTGGTGATCTGGAAGAGGCACAGCATGCTGCTGGCGAAGGTCTGGAAGTTGAACATGTCGTCGATGCCGGCCTCCCACCTAACATGGGGGAAGCTGGCCATGCCGAAGATGGAGTAGATGAACATGACGAGGAAGAGCAGCAGCCCTATGTTGAAGAGGGCAGGCAGGGACATCATGAGGGCAAAGAGCAGCGTGCGGATGCCCTTGGCCCCTCGGATCAGCCTGAGGATGCGGCCGATTCGGGCCAGGCGGATGACTCGGAGTAGTGTCGGGGGGAAGTGAGTTTCAAGTGAGGTAAGAATCGCTGAAAACACCAGGCCTTTAGAAGAGGGGAAATGATCGGATTAGTACTTGCAAGCCTGAGCTGTGACAAAGCTGGCTGCAGCCACACTCTCCTGTCTCTGCTCTGTATGGACCTCCATGTGAGGATCTGTATTCAAGTCCTCTGGGCCTCCTGAGCATTGAACGGTGATTGGCATAATGCAGGGGCTCAGTACCTGCTCACTGCATACATCTCTTGTCTCTGAAGTAAGTCCCACCCTTCTCACCATGTTCTTATCTTTCTTTCCTTCCACCCAGAATGTCATCTTCCCAGTCAGCCTCCATGCCCAAAGCCCTATCTCCTGCAGCCTAGTTTAGCTGGAGGTGATGACACCGTATTCCACACATACCAGTCCTTGTCCATCTCTGTCTATGACACAGACCCTACTCTTCCTTGAGAATTCAGCCTTGGGATATGCCTTTTCCTCCACCCTGTCCTGTGCTCTGTGAAGGCCAGGGTCCCCTGTGATTCATCTCTCCATCTCCTACTGTGAAGATTGACTTAGTTCCTGGCACATGGTCCTGTGGATAATTGTACATAGCCTGGTGTTAATTATAAGGGGGCTTGAGGAGTCGGGCAACTTGCTGACAGCTAAAGCAGAATGGCTTTGAATGGCCAGCTGTCTACATAATGGCTTGTATTTGTCTCTTTCATTTCCAGCTGTGTTTGAACTCTATGTTAGGGCCTGGAGATAGGCTTGTTTAGGGTCAGTTATAGCCCTCCCACCCACTCATAGTTATGAACAAAGCTAGAAAGAGGAAGAATGTATATGTCTCCCTATATGATATCTAACTTGAAGATTTGTGAAGCTTGATCTAGGGGACACAGGACCCAGCAAGGATTAGGCGAGGCCTTTAGGTCAGACAGGATGTGAAAACTCTTAGGACAAATGGTGAGGGCTGTGGTGGCAAGCTCTCTCTCTCTCTCTCTCTCTCTCTCTCTCTGTCTCTCTCTCTCTTTCTCTGCCAGGGGTCCCTTGACCTTTGTCCCCTACTTGCTTTTTTTTGTATGAATATGGGTGGTCATAGTATTGTGTTGGGTGGAGCCAGGAAATGGGAAGAGATTTGGGAAGGAATTATAATATTGTGTTATAAAAGCTTTATGAAAGCCCCTCTCTTAAAGCCAGGTTAACTGGGATATTTTTCCACAGTGTGGGGTATATTATGTTTCTATATAATCTAGTACTTCAAGGGATAAAGAGTCTTCGTACTTGTAGCAATTAGGTACTCAATACATTTCTTGCTGTTGGGAAGCAAGAAAGAGAGAGAAGGGGGCAGAAGGATGGAGCGGTGGGTCCTTTAACTAGTTTTCTAGTTGCCTCTTTGCCTGATTTCTCACCAGTGGATGGTGTTGCTGTGTAGGTCATAGGAACTGGCAGTCAAGGTGTCCTCATCATAAATTGGAGTACTTTGAGTATATTTTATTTCTATAGTATTGATATGGGAACTCACATAAGCAAGCTCTTTTCTCCACTGTAAAATCAAAATGACCTTTAGAATTTCTCACTTTGGGAAAGCAAACAAACAAAACAAACCTCCCACAAAAACAGTAGCAGCAGGAAAACAAAACAAAACACACACAAAAAATATAAACTCACCGACAAATAAACACAACCCAAGGCTGTGTTTCAGCACCGGTGTGGGGAGATTGATTAAATGCTGCCAAGTTGTATTTAGATGCTGTTAGCTTTTGATGGTAAATCAATGGAAAATGAAATCCACAGTTACTCCCTGACATGAAAAGTAAGCAGGTCATGATCTAACAGGTCAGGATATATTTATAATGCAAAGTAAAGCTGGTACACTGGGATTTGGGCTTTGTAGGGTCAAACTTGGCCTAAACCACAAGAAGGCCAGGGACATTCTCTTGGTTGTTGTTGGAAAGCAGCTAGTTCATTAGAAGAACATTAGCCTGGTCTGGGGCGCCTGATGGCTCAGTTAGTTAAGCATCTGATCTTGGCTCAGGTCATGATCTCGCATTTCATGGGTTCATTTGGGTCTGCACTGACAGCTCGGAGCCTAGATCCTGTTTCAGATTCTGTGTCTTCTTCTCTCTCTGCCCCTCCCCCACTCATGCTGTATCTCTTCAAAATAAACAATAAAAAATTAACAACAACAAAAAGAACATTAGCCTGGACTAAATTCAGCTCTGCCCTTTACAAACTGTGTGATCGTGTACCATTTTCTTAATCTGTGAGGTTCAATTTTTAATGTATAAAATGAGGATAAGAACTCACTCCTTCAGAGAGCTGTTGTGAAGGTCCAGGGGACCCATCCCAGTACTCAGATGTCAGCGAGCACTCAGCTATGGTGGCTCCATTACCCACTTTAGCCTCTGACTTTGTTAATTTTTCTCTGAACACTCATTGGCCCCCCAAAACTGGGCCTATCATTCAGTGCCCAGAGTAGGCCCTAAGAGCATAGATCTCTTGGCATTGATCCTTTGACTTTTCTATCACTCATACTCCCTAAGTGGACAGTTTTATAGAGATTTAATTCCAGATCCTTGACTTAGGAATCTCCTTTGAACACTTATATTTCCCACTCTTCTGGCAGCCACCTCCTTTTCCAGAAAGTATATAATGACTCACCTCAAATCACACCACCTTTGCTTTGAAGGCCATCAAGATAAGGCCCACTGGAAACTCCATCATCTTATTTTTTCTGGAGGAGTGATTATCCCTAATAGCCCCCAAAGCTGATGCAATAGGCTATGCACACAGTAGGTGCCTAAAAACACTTCATGACAGCATGGAGAAGGCCACTGGAAACTCCATTTCACTGAGAGGCCCAGGGACACTTTAAACCTGCAACTCTTGGAAAGCAGAAAATATTGGGCTCCTATAATACATAATGTGTATCAGAAAAGTCTGTTGGTTTTGAAAAAAACAAACCAGCCCGAACAACCCCAAGCAGAGCCTGGGCTTCCCCGCCAGCTGTGAGCCCACTTACTCCCAATGGAGAGGACCACGACAATGAAGTCAAACACGTTCCAGCCGTTGGTGAAGTAGTACTGCCGCAAGGCGAACATCTTCATGACGCACTCTCCCGTGAAGACAGCCACAAAGAATTGGTTGATTTTGTTGAGGATTTTTGTCTTTTCTTCGCTCTGGTCATCGGTCTCCACCATCATGGTGATCATATTGAGGCAGATGAGGACCATGATGACAATGTCGAAAGCTTGTCTGGTCACAACGTCAAAGACAAAGCCCTGGTACTTGTTCTGAGAAAACAAGAGATGGTACCTCAGGGCCTTTACTGGCCAACATACGCGAGGCATCTAAAGAGGCTGTGCTCTCCACAGATGGCTTCCTAAAGTCCGCCTCTTTTGTCTTCCTCACACTCCACATCCAAAGAGAAGCCAAGTCCTGTCCTTTCTCCTTCCAAAATCTTTTCCTTAGTTGATTCTACCTCAGTGCCTCAATTCAAGTCCTTGTTACCTTTCTCACCCCTTTGAAGAAATCAGGAACTTTGTCCTTGCTGGTGCTCATTTGCCAAGTCCTTCCCATCCCTTCTCTTGGCTATCTAAATCCCAATAGTCTGGAGTGGTCCATTGTTTTAAGCCCCACTTCCTCCAGGGAGATCTCCCTAATCACATCTTTCCTCTCATAGCCTTTGTAGTCAGTCTCAAGTTCTAGAATTTCCTGTGTGCTTCTCTTCTTTTCTGCTAGACAGTGAGCAATTTGAGGATGGGGCCATGTCTTGTTTAACGCTGTGCTCCCATAGTGCCTGCGTAGCATGAATTCAAGAACTGCAGACTAAGAGTACCTGGATGGCACAGGTGATGGAGTGTCCAACTCTTGAATTCAGCTCAGGTCACGATCTCATGATTCATGGGTTCAAGCACAGCATTGGGCTCCACACTGTTAGTGCAGAGCTTGCTTGGGATTCTCTCTCCCTCTCTCTCTGGCCCTCCTCACTCATGCTTTCTCTTTCTCAAAAACAAACAAAGAAACAAACAAAGAACTGCACACGCAGTGGCTGCTCATTCTCCCTCACCCCAGGTACCCCAAGGCAAAGGGACGGGCCTGGGGTCCTTATCTTTCCTCATTCTATCTTCCAGAACTTTGCTCCTCCTGCATCTTGCAAAATCCTTCCTCCTCTGAAGCTTGTGTCATCTACATAGCCCACCTTCACCTCTTCTTCGTTGCTGACACTTACCAACCTCCTGGTCTTTTGGCTTCATTACTGAGGAGTGAGGCTTCTGGTCAGACATGGCCTCTTTGGTCTACTACGTCTTGGTTCCTTAGTTAAATCTCTAATGACCTACTTGTTCCTAGCTTAAAAAAAAATGTTCCTGAACCTTACATCTCCCTCCAGCTACCACCCTACTCCTCCCCTTTACTTTTACAGCTATATTCTTGAAGGGATGTTGTGCAATCACTGGTTCCCACTCACTCCTCAGTTCACTCCAACATAACTTTTGACCCCAAGCTGCCACTGAGATGGTTCTCATTCAGATCACCAACGACTTCCATCATGTAAGTCCATGGGCACCTGTTCAGCATTGCTTGCCACACATGCCACCTTGAAACTATGTTTTCCTGGTTTTCATCATGCCTTACTTTCCTGGTTCTTTTCTTGCCTTTCTGGCTGCTCTGTTCTGAGTCTTCTTTATGCAACCCACAGATGTTAGAGCACCTCAAGGCTCAGTCCTAGGCAGGACTCTTCCCCCTCTTCTTTCTCTCTTAGCCACCTCTCCAGCCTGTGAATTGGTATGTGTGTGATTTTCCCTAGTTGTTTCCCTTGTCACAGGACTGTGGTCTCTGACATACAGAGACTTCATCTATCTTGCTCACTTCCCTATCCCTAGCGTCTGCAGAGTACCTGGCATGCAATAGATCCTCAATAAATAGATGAATGGATAGCTCTGAATTACCCACATCTCAAATAAAATTAGAAGGCCACTTTATTGTGTATAATAGGCACTTACTGAATGTGCACTGTGTTTGGGGCTCTGCATGAGTGGAGGCAGAGAGGACCCTGTCATGAGTCTCACCAGGGAGCTCACAGAAGCTGCAAATCAGACAAGGGGAAGAAGGGCTGTGACAGAGGCTGGGTCTTGTTTTCTACTTCCTGGTGGGGAGGGATTGCAACTCTGTGGGGTTGGAGTAAAGGATCAGACCCAAGTAGACCTGGATTTGGGTGTAACTGCTGGTCCATGTCTTTCCTGGAGTGAGGGGAGGATTGCAGAGCCACGAATAACTTACATTTTATCACTGGAAATGGCAAGAAAAATAAAGGCCTAATTATGACTACACACCTTGTAATTGAACAGAGCCGGTGACAGCATTACTAAGGTGTGGGCATTGAGTTTGCCCCAGATATTTGTATGCTGGGGAATGGAGTGGCTTGCTGCTGTTGGCTTAGCCAGTGGGCAGGGACAACTTCTTTGCAACCCTCAGTGTTCTCAGAGGTGATGAAGTGGATGACTGATGATATGATTTTCCTATAAAGTGGAGTATATGAAACCTGTGTTTAGTAATTTCTATAGCAGGGAATGTTATAGAATAAAATTTCCCAGTCTTGTGGAAGTCTTAGTCTTTGCTATGGATAGAGCATAAAATTTAGAACTTGAGCTTTGCCAGTAGTGAAGAGGTGTGTGTGTGTGCGTGTGTGTGTGTGTGTGTGTGTGTGTGTGTATCCTGCACCGGCCTTGCTGTGAAATGGCACCCATATGCGTGTGGGGCAGAACTACTGTGTCAATGTTCAGCTTTTATCTGACCAGCTGACCAGCTCAACCTATTGGAACTACTAAGGCAAGAAGGTGAGCATTCCAGTGAAAAGAGAGCTGGATCTGGGAAGGTGAGTCTTAGGTGGGAGTGGGAATTTCTCTTTTTGCTTGGGTCTGGCCTTTGAGGAGGGCAGATGATCATGCTTGTCCCACTGGGTGGTGAATGCCAAAATTTTTTCTGCCATATTGGATGCCAGCCAGGAGCTAGGACAGGGCAAGGCTAGTGGGCCCTGGGGAGCAGCCATATGCAGTTGCCGCTTGGGCCCCTGCTCTGCTAAGCAGCAGAGATGCTTCTCTTTGGGACCTCTAAGATTTCAAAGTCTTATTTGAATGTTCCAGACTTGCCTCAGCTATGGTAAGGGGAACAAAAGGAAAACAATGTTGGCTGTGCTTGGAACAGAGTATTAAGGAGAGAGCCATGTTCCTCCACTAAAGCTAAGACAGTGTTGATAGTTCATTAGTAGTACACCCCCTTCCCATCCAAATGGATGACGAGTCTCAGAAATACAGGTGGGCTGTGATGTCTCACTTGCCTTATCCCTGTGGAGGGCTTCCCTGCATGCCAACCTCGGAGGGTCTTGGTTATGGCTTAAGCAGGAGAAATGGTGATTTCATTGTAGGCCTCCCTGCCCAACCATTGTCTTACACTCTTATTGTCGTGCCTGGAATTTTAACATTAGGTTCCTATTTTTGTATTAAGATAGTGTCCTCTCCAGGGTCCTTTTTTGAAATTCAGTTCATCCTATCCCAGGGAAACTGTCCTCCTTGACAGGAGGAAGCTATGGTGGCCTATGGGATTGGTTGATAAAGGGGAGAAGCTGAGATGTTATAGAGAGATTGAGCAGTGTATAGGGCAAGGTACCAACATGATTTTGCCAAGGGATGTCTCTAGCACAGACTCCTTAGTGTCTGGTTCAAATGTGGATTCAGCATCAGTCCAGCCACCAGTGAAGGCCAGCAGGGACTCAATTGCTTTCTTATCTGTAAGTCTCAGGATCCTTCTCCGTTCACTTGATGCTGATTGGTTGGGCTCAGCCATTTACCTACATCTTTTAATTCTGAGCCTGTTCCTGCCCATTGAACTGACTGACAGAGGGATACTCCTGAGCCTTAAGGACTGTCCCTTAGGCTCATTCCACCCCAGTCATCTTGATCTTATGGGGGATTTGGAAGGAAATCTCTGCCCCTACAGAGGTTTGAACGTCCTATCACCCCTCACTGTATCACTTCTTTTTATTTTTTATATTTATTAGAGAGAGAGCATGAGCAGGGGAGAGAGGCAGAAGAAGAGAGAGAATATCAAGCAGGCTCCATGCTCAGTGTAGAGCCTGACACAGGGCTCAATTCCACGGCCCTGGGATCATGACCTGAGCCAAAATCAAGAGTCAGATGTTCAACGAACTAAGCCACCCAGGCACCCCCATTATAACCTTCTTATCAGAATTGAGTATAGTGATACATTTGTGACCACTGTTTCCAAGTAAAGTATAACCAAAAACCATAGCATTTTTTTTCCTCCTGTAAATGTTTTCAAGGCTATGTGCTCATGAAGTTTTTAGCAACTTATGCAAACCCCATGGCCTGATTTAGAAATCCTAATGCTGTGGCCAACAGAATGTATGTCTCCCTAATTTTAGGGAAGGTCTGCTCCTTTGTTGCAGGTTCTTAGATTTTGCCTTGCTGCGGGGGGAAGGGCTAATGGCATTGTGCTCTATACAGCACCTGTAGTTTTCTCCACAAATACTGCATCTTAACCACAGAAAGGTTAAGTAAAGGGACAAGATGCCAATTCCATTCACTGGAGTGGATGGCTCAGAAATTCTTGGAAGAAGCTCAGTTGTACATTTCCAACATAGCAATACTCCCACTCCCAGACCTGTTCATCCACTCTCAACAGATGCCAAGTAGAGTTTTGACATTTTCTGTCTTCTGGTGGAGGACTGAGAAGAGCTTAGGTGATAGCATGTATGGTTTGGGTATTGCATTTAATGGAGAAATAAAATGGCATGTCTCTTAGGGTCCTTGTGAATAAAGAATAAAAGTGAAGTATGGCTCTAAGTTTTGGTTAGTGTAAACACAACTTTTTATTCCTATTGTGCCACTTGACCATGACCATGACTGGGGCCCACGGAGTTGGGTTTTGGCTATTTCCTCTCTGTCTACTATAGGCATGGGGTGGAATGTAGAGTGAGGCTGGAGATTTATGTATGGAGGCTAGATCATGATGCATAGCCACACAAACACTTCATCTCAGGGCTTTAACCACCTCTGCTATCAGTTAGCCTAGCCAGTTCCCAGTCTTGTGATTGAACCCTAAACTGGTTGGGGAACTAAGTGGTTCCTTAAAACATGTCAACTTGGAATAACTGTATATTCACTCCAGCAGACCACGTTGCTTCTTTCAGACTTCTCATTCCTTGGGTCTTGGAGCTCTCATTACCTTAACCCCAAACTCAACCCAGATCCTTCACAGAGAGCACTGGCCAGCCCCTACCCAGCACAAGCACAGGCTGTCAGCTGGATTCCCAGACACACTGTGCTGGAGGGAAGCTCTGGGGCTCACCAGGGGCCGAGGGATGGGCTTCTGGGGCTTCTTGGAGCCCAGCTTCTTCATGGCGTTGTAGTACTTCTTCTGCTCCTCTGTCATGAAGATGTCCTGGCCCCCTAAGTATGAGAGGGGATAACACACACCACTGTTATGACAGCAATGAAAAATTTCAGGAAAAGCAAATTAATGCAGGCTGGAGAAGAAGCACATGTCCACCTCCTCCCTTTTCTGCAGAAAGACACGTCAAGGCCAGAATCAAGCAGTGTCCTTCCTGCCTGGGAGCCACAAACAAGTGACAGAGTGGGTAGGCCTGAGCCCCGGCTCTGACTGCCTGCCCGAATCTCTGGACCAAAGTCTGTTTCTCTTCTGCAAGAACCCAGAGGTTTGTTTCGACAGAGGGTAGGGAGTATTTGAGGGTAGAACCCAAGGAAAAGGTAAATATCAGTTTGAACCTGAGCCTTAAATCTAGCCTGCTCATTACAGTCAAATCCACTGGGCTTCTAGAATCACATTTCCTGCCAGGGGCAAGACGTTCCCTCAGGGCCTTCTGGAGCAAAGACCCTGAGACCCAGCCACTTAACCCCTTTCTGAAGAGGAGCTGAGGATAGTTACTGATGTATCCAAGGGTCCTTGGAGAATTCTTCATTGGTTCTTTTAAGGCCCTGCCATTTGTGTTGTCCTCCACAGTTACAGTTAAATTCCACCATTGGAAATGCCTTCCTCCTTGAGTTTTGGACTTTCTTTAAGGACCCTCTGGACCTCCTTCATTTCAACCCCTCACCTTTCACTTCCTGACGTAATTGAAATCTTCCCATTTCAATAGCATGTTTGTGTGAACCAGTCACTGCAAATGATGGCGATGTGGGCTGAGATATGTGGAGGTCTGTGGGATTTCAGAGATTTTAGAGAATTTGTGGACACAGAAGGTTTCTGGGGAGAAACATCTCAGCGGGGCTGGGGGCAGGGGCTGGAGGTTGGGAGCACTCGGGAACGCTGAAGACCCGGGGCAAGGAGTCAGCAAACACAGTTCTCCCCCAATTTGATCACTGGCTTTTCTCATTCTATCATCTAACACGGACAGCTCCCTGTCAAGGCCCCAGCTTCCTCATCTGAAAATGGGAGAAGGGATTGCTCGACTGGTCTCAAAACCCTCTAGGGTGCTGATGACACCGGCCAGCCCTTCACAGCCATCTTGCTGAGCCCCTCTGGGACAGAGAGGGGCCCCACTTTTTATCCCCAGAACTCTAGTTGAGGACTTCCTGTAGGCAGCATGCCTGTGCCACTAGACATGGATTCTAAATTACATTAACAGTGCAACAGCTCAGCCCTAAACTAGGTGCTTCTTGCACAGGGTTTTACTTAACCTCTTACCAGAATCCTTGCGTAGGTACTATTAACTCCATTGGATAGACGAGAAAGCTGAGGCTCAGAGAAGTTTTTAACATTGCCAGGGTCAGCCATCTAGTGAATAGCTGAGTAGCGAATGCGAGCTCGGGTTTGTACTTTGCCACAAACAATGCCAGGCTCTTGTGCTATGTGACTTAGCCAATGTGACCCTTCTTTGGATCTTGGCTTACATACGTCTAAAGTGGTGCTCTCTCTACCGCAAAGGAATGGAGGGGGTTAAATGAAAGGCTTAATGGAGGGTAGCAAGAAAGCATTTTATACTTTTAATGCCCTCATATTTTAATGTAAATATGAGAGGTTATCTGGGATTGGGTTCCTATTCATCAGAGCCAGCATCCGTGGAGGCAAGTGTCTTCCTCCCCGTCCCAAGGAGATTGGATTCCGCCAGTACTGAAGCTCTGGACCTTCCTGAGGCCTCCTGGATTGATTGCTCTGGGGGGGGTCATAGCCCCAGACAGAGGCAGCAAGTGCTGCCCGTTGATATTTCTTTCCCTGTTGATATTTCCCAAGGGTCACCTGGGACATACCCAACACGCCTGGTTTTAGCTGGGAAGACCCTGGCACTCTGGGAGAGAGGGTGGGGGCTCAGGCAGGAGCAGAGGTGAGCGCTGTGTTCAGGGTGCAAAGGTGGGGGTGGTGTTAAAGGCCAAAAATTGGGCTCCCGGTCAGACAGGAGGGCTGTGAATAGCGTTGGCTGTAGTCATGAGGCCAGGGCACAAGGAGAGGAAGATTCACCACCACTGCAAAAACACCTGAGCCCCACTTATCTTTTTTTTCTGTTGATTGAAGTTGTCAATTATGACCCCAACAAAGAGATTGAGCGTGAAGAAGCCACCGAAAATGATGAAGATGACGAAGTACAGGTACATGTACACATTGTCCTCCCACTTGGGCTGCAGGTTCACCTGTGAACAGACAAAGTGAGGCACGGAGAGCAGGTGGGGGTCTGTTTGTGTTCCTCCCTGAGACAAGGACATGAGTGTGGGTGGCCATTCGGGAGGTGACCCCAGGAAGCAGGAGTGGGGGGGTTAAGCAGGAGAAAAGCTGATGAAGGGGGTGTCGTTAAGCAGACCATCTCTGGGGGGCAACTGGCACTTCACCTGTTGGGCTTCGCCAATAAACTGTGTGGAACACACCTCAGAATTGTGCCTCTAAGGGCCAGTGAAGCTGGAACATTTGCCCACAGACTCCCAAAACTTCCCTGCGAGGGTTGCCCCTGTGGACACTCCAACCCCACCCGTGGGGGGAAGGGCTGCTGAGCAAGCCATAAGGCACCGAAGGAAGTCAAGTCTCAGGTAGAGAATCAGAAATGTAGCAAGTGAACTCAAGAGGCGGGCTGAGGGGATCTGGCGCAGGGCATCGGCACTGTCTGCCGCAGCAGCAACTGGTCTTTCCCCAGCAGCACCCGTCTCCTCCACCTGGCTGGTGTGACAGTACCCTTGCTCTAGTCACCACCTTGCTGCCTCTGCCCACGAGTGCCCTCCTACACGGTCCTGGAGTGGGGTCTGAGACTTTCCTCAATGGTGAGCAGAAGAGCTTCGAAAGCCTGGGTAGTGTGCCTGGTAGGGGAACAGGTGAAGTTGGCTTAAACATTCAATAGCGGGCCAGCTGGACAGTGCTCCGGGGAGGGCCAGGGCCAGGCTGTTGGGGGACTCCCTCTTCTGGTACCAAGGCCACCCTCAGTCCATTTCAAATAGGCTGGTGTGAGGGGGATGCACGGAGGGGCGGGAAGCACACATAGCAGGCTGACTCACATCTCGGGCATCAACAGCTGCGTACATGATGTCCATCCAGCCTTTAAAGGTTGCCTGGAAACAAGGAGCAGAGGCCACTCAGTGTCTGCCCATCGTCTACACTGAACTCTGTTTTGATTCACTTATTTGTCGGTTTTTCTCATAGAGCAGGGGTCCCCTGGAGCCAATTCCCCGTGAGTACCAGGGCTAACACAGTGCCTGGCACACCACAGCTACTCAGGGGTTGTTTGTCAAACAAGTGCATGGACAAACAGTGGCATGCGGGAAGGTGTGGGTAACTGTGTGACAAGCAAGTAACTGCATCAACACTTGGCTGAATGGAGGACTGAGTGAACCGGAAGATGAAGGCAAGGTGTGAATGCATGAACGAATGGAAGTGTAGATGTGTTTGCCTCTCATCACCACCAGCATTTTCTATCATTACAATAGACATGGAATATAACTTATTACCATCTAGGAGGGGATATGCAGTAGAAGACTGAGCGGGGGGCTATATCGTGTCTATCTTGTATACGTAGTGAACCCTAGGTCATCAGCTGACCGATCCAGCGCCACTGCAGGTTCACCCCTTTGTTCTCGTCTGCCACCCCACGCTTGTCCGGTTGCCCCACTCTGACATTGGACTAAGTGGTGAGGCCCTTTAGCCTCGCACTAGTCTGTAGGAGTGGGGAGTGGCCTCAGCTCACACTGAGTGCTACCCCTTGCAAAGTCTCCACATAGCATCTTCTGGAAGACCCCAGACCCTCCACATTTTCAAGCAGCCAGAGGAAGAAACAAGGTCGGTCTCGGGACTCACCACCTGCAGAAGCGCGAGGTAACCCATTGCAACATTATCAAAGTTGACCTTCATGTTGACCCAGAAGAAGCTGCCAGTGTGGTTCTGATTTTTACAGTCAGACATGTTGTTCACGATAGACGGAGGCACAAGAGAAAGGTATTCATTGGTTTTGTTGACGCACCGCCCAAACTTCCCAGCAAAGAAGTTCACGCCCATGATGCTGAAGATGAGCCAGAAGATGAGGCAGACGAGCAGGACGTTCATGATGGAGGGGATGGCGCCCACCAGGGCATCGACCACCACCTGGAGGGGAAGGTAAAAGGATCTGGAGCCGTTCTTGCTGGAGCCTACTTCTGGCTACACTCACTCAGCCTGCTTCAAGACGAGTGGCTTTTGGAAGCAGAAAGAGAAGTAGGTTAATTAGGGCAATAGTTCAGACTCAGAAGACCAAGAGAGACTCTTGGTAGCTGAAGATGGGCTTAGATCTTCTCCCTAAACTTCATTCCGCAGGTTTTTGGATCTTTCCCCAGGATTGAGAAGACGAGTGAACTTACAAGTACCTACATGCTCATATAAGGGCATGAATGTGTGTGTTGTGCTTGCACATACAGACTTCTAGGGCCTTCCTTTATTTTTCTTAAATGCAATTTCAAAAGAGCCTTAACAAATACAGTTTAAGGTATGCTTCAGTCAAGAATCAATGAAAACCATATTCACAAACTTGCTTATTTGTAGAGCAGCAACCTCGAGATAAAAGAAAATAAACTTCGGGGACACCTGGGGGTTCAGTAGGTTAAGCGTCCAACTTCAGCTCAGGCCATGATCTCACGGTTCGTGGGTTCGAGCCCCGCGTCGGGCTCTGTGCTGGCAGCTCAGAGCCTGGAGCCTGCTCTGGATTCTGTGTCTCCCTCTCTCTCTGCCCCTCCCCCTCTTGTGCCCCCTCCCCTCCCCTCAAAAGTAATTAAGTAAAATAGAATAGAAAAAAATAAAATAAATTTCAAACGATTTCAACCCTAATCTCCTGTGTTTCTAAAGGTACAAATGAATTTTTAAAGTCTACTTTTTTTTTTTTTACAGAAGATTCCATGCTAATGAATATAGAAGAAATGATTAAAAAACGAAAATAAAGTCTACTTTTGTTTTTGAAGACAGGATGTCTTCTTTGAGTCAGTAGTGGAAGAAAGCAAAACCTCACTTTCAGTACCTTTTTATTACCTTTTGTAATTATGAGGAAGAGGAGGAGGACAAATAAGAGTCCCTTGTCCCCCCCGCCCCCCCCAATTCAAAGGTGTGGGTTGTGAGTGTTCCATTGTGAGGAAGACAGCGAGGGCAGGTGGAGGTGACAATGGGTGAGGAAAGGAGTGGATGAAAGGGAAGAGTCCATAGGACCCACGACTACCTTGGGTGGGGCAGATGCTCTCTGGTGGATGGTGGCCATGGTGCTGAACGGATGGTGTCACCATATTTAAATGAAGTGTCAGAGTGAAGGCTCATTTGTCTTGGAAGGATGAAGAGTTTGGAGCACTCCAAAATTTGGCAATAAGGAGAAGAGGCAGGATGGAGAGATGGAGGTAGAAGATGTTGAGGCAGGACCACTTCGCTACGAGCAGGAAAGGGTGAGTCTGCGTGCTGGGTGGATGTGGCGCTTGAGTGAGAAGGACAGAGAGCTCACGAAGGGGTGTGAAGGAGAACCAGAGCATTAGGACATGGCAGTGCCGCCGAAGTCCCAGCAGGGCGAGGTGAGGAGCCAGCGCCCACCTGTGGGGGTGGGCCCAGGCCCAGAGTCCAGAGTCGGGGGCGCGGAAGGCACGGCGGGGACGAGGAGGCGCTAAACGCCGCCGACCAGAGCAGCTTGGAGGGAGGTCTTACCCGCATGCCTTCAAATCGAGACAGAGCCCGCAGGGGCCTCAGGGCACGGAGGGTTCGAAGGGCTTTGATGGATGCCACGTCAGAATACTGCAGGATCTTCGCTATAAGGCTTGTCAGGGAGATCTGAGTGCAAGCAGAGAGCAAAAGCATTACTCTAGGTTCCTGAAGGTCCTGGTAAAAGGAGACAGGAAGTCCCTCCTATCCTCTAGTCTGTCCAAGTCATCATCCTGGCTCACATCTTATTCTGAACTCCAGTGAAAGGTCTGGAGAGAATTTGATCTCTTCCTCTTTATTACAGATTTCATTCATCACTTCTCTGAATCTCTGAGAAAGAAAAACAGTCTTGCACACCATGACCCTGTGGTTTGTAGGTGGTCAAGCTCCCTGTATATTACCTTCCCTTTCCCTAGGGGCATCAGTCAGGCTCCAACAGCTTTGAAACTTGACTTTCAGAGACTTGGAGAGATGATGTCCCTTCATGGGGGTTATGCTGAAAGTCTGTTTTGAAGTGAGTCCCAATTGTATTTGCTCATAAAAGTGGAGTGGAAAGAGTCTTGGTCCGGGAGGGGTCTAATTCCTTCTCAACCCCTGATTCTTCTCGTGGCCTTGGGTCAGTGCCTTGCTCGTGCAGGTCATACCTTCACCCAGGTCAGAGTAAGAGTGTGGCATGATCCATGAAATACAGGTTTGACAGATGGCTGGGATACAATGACTGGGTTGTGACTCCCTGTTGGCCTGCCAGCTTTTCACTTTTTTAAAGTGTTGGCCAAGGGCTACAAAGGACACAAATTAATGTGGACAAATCGTACACCTTCCAGGAGCTTTGAAGGTGCTAGGGTGGTACCACAGGCATAGGCTTGAACTTGCCAGAGGCCGTGTCCCAATCTTGGAAGACCTTCAACTGCACCATGACTGGTGGGCTGAATTCAGGCTTGGCTTATCCTGGCAACTAGGTGGGGATGTACACCAGACCTTCAGAAAGAAAGGGGTTTACATTTGAGTTACACAGAGCCTCAAGCAATGTCTGTTCTCTGAATAAGTGGCTTCTTCCACCAGGACAAGAAACTGGAATGGAAAGAACTGCCTTTCTTCTTCCATGCAAGGCTCCAAACACCAGCAGGTGGCATCCAGCTGTCTGGCTGACAAAGGGTAGGGAGGTTTGGGGCCAGTTTCATGCTGGACCCTATTCAGTTTTTTCCCCCAGCCCTCTGTGAAGGCTGCCTCATGTGCAAAATCTATAGTTGGAGCAGTCAAGACTTGGGTCTCTCCATCCAAGCCCACCACCACTCCCACTGCTTAGGCCACTAGCTTCCCAATTGGTCTCTAGGATTGCGTTCATTTCATCCGTTCTCCACTGCAAATTTGACTATAATCATGTGCGTCTCTTACTCCCAATGTTTACTGGTGTTTTATCACCCTTAGGTTAAGTTCCAGACTCCTGAGCTGCAGACTACTTTTTCAGTCACGGCTCACCTATATATTCTACCCAAATAAGATTAGTCCCTAAATGTACCCGTGTCTGTGCCTTTGCTCAGAGTCATCCTTTAATTAAGATTGGCCTCCCTCAGTCCTCTTTGCACTTCAATGCTCCTGATCATTTTAAGCCATACATCTAATATCACCTCCTACATGAAGCCTTCCCAGCCACCCACCCCCACAGGCTCATGTCTCCGTGTCCATAAGACACTAACTATTTCCAGCAGGGCTCACCCCACTCCCACCCCCATAATAGGTTTATTTCTCTCTGTGTGTCTCATCTGCTGGAAGATTATAGAGTAAACTCCTGGAGAAAGGGAGCTCTTATTTCTTGGCCTCTGTCTCTCCCAGAGCACTTCGTAAGACAATCCTATATCCGGTAGTCACACATAAACATTTGAGAAACTGAAGAAAAGACAGATGAGGGATGAGAGGAAGGAGAGAAAGAAGGAAGATGGATGGGAGATGGGAGGCTGGTTGGATATGAAGAATGGATTAAAGGATACAAGGATGGACAGGATAGACATTTGAAGGGAAGGATGGAAGAAAGGATAGAATATGGAATAGTGGATGGATGAGACAGATGAAGGGGAGAAGAATGGGCGGCCAGGTAAGTTGACTGATGGATGATGTGAAGAGAGAGTTGGACACAATAAATTGATGAAAGAGATTAGAGAAGGGATGGGAGGCTGACTGGTTGGGTGGAGGGATGCATGGGCAGAAGGGTGGAAAGGAGGAAGGGTAGGTGTGCAGTTAAACGAAGGATGGGAAGACGGAAGAACGAGCGGATAGGAGAGCGCTTGTATCAAAGGTGCGTGAATGAGTGAATAGAAGGTTAGATGGTTGAATGGTCAGATAGAAAGGTGACTCAGAAGATAGAAAGGTAGAGGGAATAAGGGCCCGTTGGTTGATGAAAGAAAGGTTAGGATGAATGCGTGGGCGGAAAAGAAGAAAGAAAGAAGTAGAATAGATGGAAGGAGGGAGAGGACTGACAGGAGGTAAATGGAAGACGTAGAGGTGAGTGGGCGTTTGGAAGAATGGAAAAAGGAAGGGCAGACGGCTGGATAGATGAAGGAGGGGCATATGGAAGGGAGGATGGATGGTCAGAGGAAGAATTGGGAGGAGGATGGACGGAACGAGTGGGTGACCATTGACGGTGGCGGGGGCTTAAACCAGCGTCGATGAGAGTGGCTGTGCCCCTAACGGGGCTGGGAAGCCAATAAAACACTTTTCCTTCGTCTATGAGTAATTATTTCATACGCACAAAGTTATCACCCATGACTCAGAGTCCAGCCTCATAGCTGATCCCCGTGGTCCCGGGTCCGGAAGCTGCCAGCACGTTGGTATCAGGAAAGATGAGAATGGAGCGCACAGACCTGCTGTGGGGGCCCTGACAGCGCGGGAGACCGGACAGAATGTTCTGTACTGGACGCCATCCAGCCTCATGAGGCAAGCGCCAAATACAGACACAGATCCTGACACCTCTGACACGCAGCCCTCGGTGCGGTGGCTCTCAGAGTGGGGGAGGCGGAGACGTGCACAGCACGTGCCCCCCCTGGCTGGCAGCCCCCGCAGCTGTGCTGCACTGAGCCCACAGCGCAGGCGGCCAACCCGCAAAGCCAAGGGGGCAAAGGTCTGGACAGAGATACAGGGTTCTGGTATTAAGACGAGGGACAGATCACTCCTGGGTTTGGGAGCTGTGAGGAGACAGAATCCCATCCTATGGGAGGCACTTGGTAACCCCTCTGACGCAGGGGTTAGTGACGCGGGGGATTAGTGGCCACAGGTTAGAAGGGGCCTGAGCACACAAGCTTCCTGCTCACACCTCCCAAAGGGACGCTTTGTCTCTTTTAGTGCCCACGGGGAGAAGCCGGTGGGGCAAGCTCGGGGGTTCTCAGTCTGGCTACACACACACGGGACGTGGCCAGGAGCTTTTCTAAGATACTGAAGCCTGGACTCCCCCAGGGCTAGAGAGATCTGAGCCTCTGGGAGTCGTAGCATTTGTTCATTGTATTTTTTAAGAGTTCCCCGGGTGATTCTAAAGTATAGCCTGGGCTGAGGACCACTGAGTCAGCAGGCGGGAAGGTCCTCCGTGCTGGGCGGTGCCCGGCTCCCATCTGTCCAGAAGCCGGGTCAGGGGATGCAAGGGCATAGGGGCCCTGGGAGCCACGTGTGTCATCTTGCTTTGGACATAAAATACGGAGGGCAGTAAGTGGTCTTTCTGGAGGGAGACCTGGGAACTGGGAGCTCACCTGAGCCCCACCACTGTGCCAGAACCATCTACTGTCTGATCTAACCATTCACCGGTATGCAGGGCTATTCTCAGATGCCTTGCTAAGTGCCCAAGGGGGGTGGCCCGTGAGGCGAGGCCGCAAGCTTTCTTTGCGTTAGGCGCAGCCACCGGTCACAGGTGAGGGCCCCAATCCCCACATGCGCCAGCGGGCCACTCACGTTCACGATGAGGAAGTCCAGCCAGCACCAGGCGTTGGTGAAGTACTTCTTGAAGCCGTAGGCCACCCACTTGAGCAGCATTTCGAACACAAAGATAAATGTGAACACCCTGTCAGTATATTCCAGCAAGGCCTTCACTGTGGGCTTCTGGTCCAGGTAATAGTCCTCGAAAGCCTGGGAGAAGAATGAAAGGGGGCAGAATGGTCGGCTGCCTGGACCCACAGCCATGGAGCCCGGTGTCACCCGTATCAGTTTGTTTTCTCTGCTTGGGGTGGGGGTGGGGGGCTTGGCGCCGTGGTGGAAAAGGCGCCGTGACAGAGAAGCCAGGACCCCTTAGAGCCCACGGGGCACGCAGCCTGGCTTAGCCTTTGCAGGGACGCTGAAAGCAAAGGAGAAAGGAAACCTTCTCAAATTGGGGCTTGGAAGTGAACCAAAGGGATCCTACCAGCGTCTTGGTTTAAAAATAAAAGCATCAAAGGATGTTCGCAGGCAGTTCACAAAAATGAAAGTAAGAATCGCCGATGAACCTCTGAAAAAGAATGTTCTAGCTCGCTGGTAATTAAGGAAATTCAAACGAAAATATGTCGTTTTTCTCTTATCAGACTGGGGAAGATAAAAAAAGAAGCAGGGTGAGGCCAGGGTTGCTGTGGCTGCGGGGAGGCACTACTCTCACACCTGCCTGGGGGTGGGAACCCGCTTCCGTCTTTTGGGAGGCCACTTTGGCAATGGGAGTCAAAGGTTCCAGAGACCCAGCATAGCTCCCTTCAAGAATTTAGCCTAAGGGGGGCGCCTGGGGGGCTCAGCGAGTTGAGCGTCCGACTTCGGCTCAGGTCATGATCTCACGGTTTGTGAGTTCGAGCCCCGCGTCGGGCTCTGTGCTGACAGCTCAGGGCCTGGAGCTGCTTCGGATTCTGCGTCTCCCTCTTTCTCTGCCCCTCCCCTGCTTGCGCTCTGTCTTTCTCTCTCTCTCAAAAATAAATAAACACTAAAAAAAAAAAAAAAGAATTTAGCCCAAGGACACTAGGCATTATTGGTCCAAGGGGCCAGGGCGCCCGTCCACCAGCTGCCACTAAAACAGCTGGAGGTGCCCCCTTTCCTGAAGCCCCCTTGGGCTGAGGGGAGCTGCCTCCACCTGCAGAAATGCCCAGGACACCTGCAGGCAGCCGTGGCCAGCGACTGTCCCCATTGCATCAAGGTGGGACAGCTCTGTGACACCCTTAATGCTTCATCACGCCTGTGGGGTCAGGCTGAGGCTGGACTTCATGGGAGCCTCTTAGCTCCTCTCTCCATCCTGCCTCCCTCTTGGGCCCCATCCGGGAGCGCCCTCCAGAGCTGCTTGCACAACATCTCTGCTTCTGGTTCTGCTTCTAACTGGACCTAAGACAGGAAAGAAGCCAATGTGTTCAAAGGCATCTACATGGGCTATTCAACGCTCATTAGAAGTAAACACGGGGATTATTTAAATAAATGGCGGCACGTTCCGTAATGGAATGCGCTGTAGCCACTAAACCAGATAGTAGGAGTCTATTTACTGTGAGAATTTACTGAGAAGTTACAGAATGCATAAATGTGGCTTCAGTTTTGTAATATTTATGTATTATACGCATAAGAACGATGGGAAGGAAGTACACCAAAATGTTTTCAAAGTGAGATTCTCTTTGAATGATAGGAAAATGGGTGATATTTTTTCTTTGCCTTTTCCCATAATTTCCAAGGTTTTTTTTTTATTTTTTGCACTTTACTTTGTCAGATGAAAACTTGTGTTATTTTTTTTTTAAAGTACTCAAAGTAAAAGCATAAGGAAGACTAAATTTGGTGCCAGCCTGTTCGGTCCGTTGGGGGAAGGAGATGGGGAGGTGAGGGCCCAGCAGCTGGCGCAGGATCTGCGCTCCCTCCTGGGAGAGAGGGGAGCAGCTGGGGTGAGTGGAGAAGGGAACAGAAAGAAGGGCAAGGGCAGAGGCGCGTGGAGAAGAGAAATGAGGAGAGGAGGCCCATGGGGAAAGACAGGAGCCTCCGAGGTAATGAGGAAAGCACCTTGTCAACAGCAAATGTGACCACTGTCTTCATCAGGGAGGACGGGAGGGAGGGAAGGGTAGGCGAAATCACCACGCAGCCCCCTCTGGCCCCGCCACGTGGCCTGGGCGCCAGTGCTCCACAGAGACGGCTATAGCAGGGGACAATCGCCACCCTGTGGCACCTTCCGAGGCTGCCGCACCCCCCCCCCCCCGTGGTGGCAGCCCTGTTCTGGGGCCTCTCCCTCTGCCTGGTGCCATCGCCTGCCTGTCACCCGTCTTCTAGTCATCCCGTCTCCTCCCTCCCTTTGCTCCTCCCCAGGGCTGCGGCCGCGCTCAGCGGATTTGGCACCTTTCCTGGGAAACCTGGCATTTAAGTAGGTGCCCACCTATCCAGTAGGTCTGTTTAGGGAGTAAATGGCACGTGGAGAGCAAAACAAGTGAAAACGTTGGAGCCATGAGTCAAGAGAGAGGGGCTCTCGCCCTACCTTTGACTACTTAGCTGGGCCCCGTTGTGTCTCTGGGCCGTGCCTTCCTCATCCGTAAGGTGCAGACGACAGGGGTGCCGAGTCCCTCCCTGCGTCCACATCTACCACAGCCCGTGGGGAAGCTGAGCTGAGGTTGTGCAGGGAGCGTGAGAGCACAGTGTCAGAAGCTTCCTCCCTTGCCCTGCGAAGCTGGGCTTTCAGCAAGGGGCCTGAGAAGCCTAATCAGAATTCCCGACTCCGGAAGCCCTGGGAGTCTCTGTGCCTGCCGGGCCTGCTACTCAAAGTGGGGTCCAGGCAGCAGCAGCAGCTCCTGGTGCTTGTCGGAAATGCGAATTCTCGGGCCTCGCCCCAGATCTGACTCAGGACCTGCCTTCGGACCCGCTCTCCAGGTAACTGCATCTTGAGAAGGGCTGATGTGAGCATTTGCTGTGAGCTCTGAGTAGGTGGTAGTGTTTGCAAGTGGCTTCAACTTGCAAGATACAGAAGGACGGCCGTCCTGGTACCGGGCCTTCAGAGAAGGCCAGTGTTTGGGAGGCCCCGGGGGTAGAAAGCCAGGGGCTTGGGGATCTGATGAGGACGAAGGTAGGTTTTGCTACTGACAAGCTGGGTGACCTTGGCCAAGTGCCTCAAGCCCTTTGAGCGTCAGCTGCCCCATCTATAAAGTGGGACGCATGCCCTTGCCGCTTGACACGCCGGCAGCCAGGCTCAGCAGGCCGAGTCGTGGGCACCAGCAGCACCCACCCTGCTGAGGGGCCCGCGTGCGGCCGCAGCTCTCCCGCCAGCCACAGCTCGCGGGCTTCCGCGCTCGGAACCAGGGGAGCTCACTGCTGCGGCTCCAGGGCCTTGGGATTGTGGGAGACGCCATCCGGAGGGCTTGGGGGCAGGGACCCCGGCTCCCCTTACCAGGGACCCGCTGCTCAGCAGGATCATGAAGATGATGAAGCTCTCGAACCAGTTGTGCTCCACGATGCGGTAGCACGTCTTGCGCACCTGCCAGCCCACGGCCCACGGAAACTCACCGGTGTCCACTCTGCAGCAGGGACAGCGGCGGATGCAGCCTGTGGGGGGAGGTGACCGATGGAGAGGGACGTCCGCCTGGGGCACAAGGAGTATTTTCGCTCTAGCCCTGCTGAGAAACCGCTCTGCTGGGCAACCGTTTGCTGCCCCTTAGGAAAGGAATTCTTCCCTGGAATACGAGAGTCGTGGCGGCCCTTCTCAGCCAGCCTCTCGCTCCTGCCCTTTGGGGGTCCCTCCCGCCATCGGCCTCACCCTCTCTCAACTCCTCCCCAACTACTGTCCTTCTTGGAGAGGATACGGGTGACCCTGTCCTCTGCGCCCCCACTTCAGGAAGGCTGATGAGCCGCGGGGCCTGGGCCCGGTGCGGAGGCACTTTGCCCTGACCCGAGAGGTCCAGTCCGGCCCAGCGTCATGTGGAACCGAAAACTCAACAAAGTGCTGTTGCTTCCGAATTTACATACTTTCCATTATTGAAGCCACAATGACTTTCATCGTGTGAACTATACACATACGTCCACCTGCTGCTCGCATGTCTACTGAGCACAGAGCAGGGCCCCCTGTTCCAAACACCGAGGGGAAGAAGAGTAAGATGCATTTCCTGCCTTCAGGACCACAGAGGGCGCGTTCAGGGGATACAGCTGTAGATAATTTTTCTCCCTTTAAGAGTCGCACAAAAGCTAGAGGGACACAGATGTGGCATGGCCCTCCTCTGGGTCGTTTATGTCCCCAAACAAGAGTGTTTACCTTTCTCAAGCTCAAGAGGGTTGGTTTATCACTCAGTGAGGTGTTTCAAAGGTGACAAGGAAGGCCCGGCATCCGTGGCCGTGTCTGCCGTGGCCGTGTCTGCCGTGGCACCACCTGGCTGCCGCGAGCTGTGGCCTTCGTGCCTGATGCTGGCCCCTCAGACTTGGGGGCAAGGCAGCGGGGCACCCTGTCTGTCTGTGTCCCACAGACCCCAGGCCGGGGCCTTGGGGGCACATAGGGGCCCGGAGGACAGTGTGCTGGACTGGATTCTGACCCTAATTAATGTCAACACGAGGAGGCCAGGGGCCGCGGCTTTACCTTCTGTGAAGCAGTCGTCTGGCTCTTCGAGGTCGTCTGCCAGCTCGGGGATCTTCCTCAGGATCTCCTCGGGGTCCAGGCAGTCCACCGTGCTGCCTTCCGAGGAGCTCGCGTCGTCCGCCCCCTGCAGGGGCAGAAGCCCGGGGCAGTGACCTCAGCTCTTGGAGGGGCCCAGTGAGTCTGCACACTGTCTGCCCGGCCGCGGGCTCCCCGGTGCAGGGAGAGCCCCTCAGGGCCGGACCCGCTTCACCGTCCCCTGTGCGCCTGGCGCTTTGCCAGCTGAGGCCCAGCACAGCGATGCTCTCTGTGGGGCCCCGGAGGTCCGCTGTGTGGGGCTCTACGCCTCCAGGCCGCTGATGGGGTGCTGGCGAGGGCCCGGGATGCGCCATGACACCCGTAACCGCCCTCGTGGCCACCGGGCTCGAGTATTGAATCTCCGAGCGATCCTGCGGGGCTCTGCTGCCCCTCCTGGCAGCCCCAGCCCTGTAATGTCTGCAGATGAATTCAATTAGGACTTGAGGCTGCTCTCCTATTAGTAAACCTGATAGCTTGGCTAATGGACCCAAATGGTGGGGTGGGTCCCCATCTGTCACTGTCAGGCCCTTCTCTGCCTGGCCAGGCTCGTGGACAACAAAACCAAAAGCAAAACCCAAACCAACACCCAGCAGCTGTGTGCTGAAAACCTTGCGTGGGAAAAACCAGCCAGGGGAATTCTTAGAGTGCTCGGCAGGAAACATCGTGTCCACGGGTGGAAGGGCAGCCCTCACCTAGCAGGTGGCTTGTGTTCACCGGACCCACCCCCCCATCTCAGCCCACCCTCCGATCTTTCCCTGCTGTGGTCAGCCTTACCCAGGGGCACACAGCCAGCTGGCCTGACGTTCCTCAAGCTAAAGGGCTTGATAACTTTGGCCATGAATGATGCCTTCCTTATCTTTGCCCAGCCGGTGCCTGTCACGGCTTCGGCTCTCAGCGGCTAGGTGACAAGTTAAATTCCTAAATTCAATGCAGCGGTATTAAGGATGCTAAATCTTTCTAGACACCTCTTCCCTGCAGCTCGATTTCTTCAGAGATTTGTAATGAAACCACCATGTTTCTTTCTGCCTCTTTATAATACAGTCCTAAACCCCAGTGTTGCTTCCTGCTCAGGCTACATGAGGCTGTCAGTACACTACTCACTACCGACAGCCTCTCCAGAGCAGCAGAAGGGTTCTGGCTGGAAGATGTGATGTGGACAAAAGAAAGTGGGGGCGGGGAGTCACAGGGATGACTTCCTCACCCACGAGCAACTCTGACTTCCTATCTGCTGGCTCAGAAAGGCGCTTTCTCTGTGTCTTGTCTTTTGTTCCCTTTTTTCTTGGCTGTCATTTTCTGGGCACTTATTCCCTTTCAGGCAGGAGCTAAACACTTGACAAGCAGCATCTCATTTAAGCTTCACACGCAGCCTACCGGGTAGGCATTACGATTCACTTTCATAGACGAAGACGAGGAGACTCAGGGAAGTTGAGGATCTGGTCCTCGTCACCAGTCCCTCCCCCCCGCAACCCTCCAGCCTGTGGAACCTCGCTCTGAAAATAGTGCCGATCAGCCCGGAGGTTAGGACAGGCCTTGACAATTCTCAGGATGAGATGTGAGCTTCCGTGGTCGAGCACAGTGTGGAAAACCACCTCCCCCGCAGCCGCACCCTCCACCCCCTATGCCCCCCACCAGTCAGTGTCTGGCAGGCTGACCAACCTCTCCCGGAAGCTCACATACCTACCTCTGCGGGCACCTGGGCAGCAGGTTCGTCTTTCTGCTTCTCACCCAGGTATGGAGCCAGGCCCTCAGAGGACGTTTTAGAGCCCGGGCTCCTGGGTGCCATGTCGTCCTCATATCTCCCGACTTGCTGTGGCTGCTCCTGCTGGTGAGAGAGAGTCCCATCTGGGTGCCTGTGCCCACCCTCAGCTGACCGCCTCTCAATCTGAAGAGATCTTGGACCTCGGAGTCTGCCAGCACTAAGGACCTAATATATGCAACATACATACATACACACTTGTGTGGCGTGAGCGTGGAGTCCTATATCCAGATCTGTTTAACTCTTGGCTCCATCACTTACAAGCTGTGTGACCTCAGGCAAGTAAATTTAACCTGTCTGATCTTCGTTCTCCCACCTGCAGAACTGAGAAGGCGAGATCAACTTCATTCAGTGATTTTGATGACTAGATATGTGATGCTTGTAAAATGCTTTGCATGAAGTGCTTGGCTCAGTAGATGTTAGCCATACCCATTATTTCTTGTCCAGAGGTCAGAGTGGTAGCGGACGTGGCCATGCAAAGTCCCCCAAGAACCCAAAGTCCCTGAAAATGCCTCTGAGTACAGGCAGCCATCACAGAGTTCATGTCCTCTATTCTCGGGACGGTGATGCTCTTCCCTTGGCTGTCACCCATACAAAGGCATGTAAAATATGGCAGCTGATAATAGCAGCTGCTGGGACACAGAGAAGTGACAGCTGCAGGGACGAAGACAGCTGTCTGAGGCCACTCAGCGGCCTGGCCGGCAGCCCTACATGTGGCCAGGCCCCATAGGGATCCCTGCCTTCCCACATGGTCAGAAGTGCATACCCTGAGTCACTGAGAAGAGGCTAACAGAGTTGATATGTCAGCTAAAGGCAGTAGGGAATTGTGCAAAGTGTTTAAAAATATATATTACCGAAAGGCTTAAATGTGCTTTAAATTCTTTGGTGCCAAAAGGAACAAGTGTCATTTCTCTGTGACATCCTTTGTTGGAAAAAGCTGGATAAGTGAGTCACACGATGATCTGGACTCCCCAGGCTTCTGCTGAAGATCAGGGGAGCATTGCTCTTGGACAACATCTGTTCTTAGAGGAATCTCATTAGTGCCTTGGGCACAGAGGCTGCGCCGGGCAACGAAAATGGGGTGATTGTGTGAGAGACACTCCCAAGCACCATGAAGTGGCCTGGGACTAAAGTGCTGCCCTGATGCCTGCCCAGGGAATTCAGATCTTTTTTTCCAGGCCCTGCTCAAATACCGCCTTCCCCAGAAAGCTTGGCGTGGCTTTTGCTTCCTGACGTCAAGTGCTTCTGTGCTTGGCTGGCCCGGTGCTTATCAAGGCTGTGCCCGTCCTGATGCTGGAAAACTTCCTTCTTACAATTTCCCTCTTGCCCCGTCACTCCGTCCCTGAGGCCCCTCCCGACTTCCCGTGGCTTTCCCGTGGGAGAGCTCTCACCTGCCCTTGAGAGATCACTTCCTGCTGGGAGCTCTGAGCATCCTCCTCAGAATCCTCCTCCTCCAGGTCATCGAGGTCAGATTCACCCTCAGCAATGGGCACAGAGACCGACACGCTGGGGTTGGTGACGAAGTCACTGTGGTCGTCCCCGGGGCCTCTGGGCTCGGGCAGCCCCGCGGGGCTCCCCGTGGCCGTATCGGCAGCAATGTGGTTCTCAGCTTTGGCACTAGGGAGTGGGGGTTTCGCCAGCGGCTGGGGCTCTGCCTTGGGCCTTCTGCTGAAGAAGCTGCAAAGGGCCTTCTTGGTGTGTTGGCCAAACTTCTGGATCCGTGTCAGGGCCGTCTTCAGGTTGTTCACTTCCCCGTCTTCGTCTGGAGCCGTGAGATTGTCAGCACTGAAGGAGTTCAGCAGCAGGGCAATGAACAGGTTGAGCACCTGGAGGGAAGGAGTGGAGGCAAAGGTGGTTCAGGCGACGAGCGGGGCCTCCCCGTGGCCCGCCCCCCAGCTCAGCAGCCAGACGGCAGGATGGCCACCCCTGGGCCTCTCCCGACCTCGTGCTTTCCCTCTCCGGGGAATGGACATTTGGAGAGCCACCGATGGGAGTCTTGAGGATGTCCCAAGTGACCTGCCTCATGTGGGCAAGGCTTAGATGCACATTCTCCACCATAGAGGAGGATCACCCCTCCTGAACCAAGGGACATTTGGGGACAATGGAGAGGAGCACGTGTGGGTCTGCCCTGGGGCCACTGTCATCTGCCAAAGCCCTGGGTTTGGGGATCCTCGCATCCCTGGGATCCTGGGCAATCTCCTCCCTGCTTCCAACTTCGTGTTCTTCACCCATGAGCATGAGTGTGAGCAGAGAGGGGACGTGAAAAGGAAATGACCCGAGGGCTGTGAAAGTGCTCAGAGAGGCAAACTTCCTGCCTGAGGGTTAGGGGCCCCTGTGGCTCTGCAGGGATGCTGAGCTCAGCCTGGAAGAAAGGATCTTCAGCCACAGCCTCCCACTTGGGAATGGGGGGAAAAGGCATCTCTGCCTCCACAACCTGGGTGGGCAAGACTTTGAAGAGCCTGGATTTGTTGTTTTGCCTCTCTCGGTTTAGCTTTCTTGTGTCTGTAAAACTCTTACAGGAGAAGAATTCAAATTGGTTGATTTCCAGGTCTGTAAGAAAGGCTTCTGGGACTGCACAGGCTTCTCTACAGCCAGCACTGGGCAGCAAGGGTGCCCAGGACCACAGTGGGTGGGGGGAAGCTGGGGGCGAGGAGCCAGGCTGGGACAGAGAGGGGGTGCTGGGCCAATGGACAGGAAGATCTGCAGGGGGGATCCCCCAAATGTGGGAGTGGATTTTGTTACTGATATTGTGGCATTGGATGCCGTCCATGACCCAGCTTCTCTCTTTCATCTTGCCTCACCACGCCGGCCCTCCTGCTCCTAGCTAGGACATGGGTAGCTTAGAGACATCAGTCAGCTCTCACTCCCTTGGAGAAAATTATCTTCTGAGACCCCCTAGAGTGGGGAAGGAAATTTTTCTTCAATAACTAACAGCTAACATTTGCTGAGTTCCTGTTGTGGCCCAGACACTGCACTAGGCAATTTTCATATGTCATCTCCTGCAATTTAATTCCCCTGGCGAGCCTATGAGTAAGCACTATTTTCTTGGTTTTAAGGAAATTGAAGCTTGAGGAGACTGTCTCTTGTGCCGGGTCATCCAGCCACTAGTGATAGAGCTGGGGAGTTCTAAACAGGTTTTTTCATCCTTATCCTATATGCTCACTCAAGCAAGTCAGGCAGCCTCCCGAGGGACAGTTCTTAAAATGTGCCCCGCATGACTCTGCAGTTTGAAGGCTTTACAGCCAGGGAGGTGTGATGGGGGAATGAAATGTGCAATGTCCAAGCTTTTTCGGATAACCCAGAAGTCTCCCCCATTGCCCCTGAAACAGCGCCCCCAGAGAGGCTCAGCACTCACCACCAGGTTCCCCAGCACCATCACTGTTAAGAAAAGGATGAGGCATATGGATTTCTGGCCGACTTCCATGCAGGTCCACATGTTCTCAATCCACTCTCCACACAGGATCCGGAAGACGATGAGGAAGGAGTGGAAGAAGTCATGCATGTGCCAGCGCGGCCATTCTTCGTTGGGCGCAGAGATATTGTACCGGTGATCACGGTAGTTATCCCCGAGGAGCTGCTTGCCAACCAGAGCGAAGACAAAGACGATGATGGCCAGGATGATGGTGAGGTTCCCCAGCGCCCCCACGGAGTTCCCAATGATCTTGATGAGCGTGTTTAAGGTTGGCCAGGACTTGGCAAGCTTGAAGACCCGCAGCTGCAGAGAAACAGACACGGTCGGGTCCTGTTGCCTCTCATCTCAAGTCTTGATACTGGAAAACCACCAGGCAGCTTATTTCATTGATAAGGGTGCTTCCAGGAAGCTGCTTTTAGAGACTTTTCTTTCTGTGATCAGTCACTCAAAAATACCAATGGCCTTCTACGATCTTTATATATCAACATGTTTCAGCAAGTTTTATAAGTGGGGTTGTGGTCTGGCCATACGTACTCTAGTCTGTCACCACGGGCTTCCTGAATGTTGGCCTATTCTTTGGGGAGTGCAGTGGGGGTATTATGGAGATCACAAATAAGTGAGAATGGCCCACTTTTGACCTGAAGAAATGTTAGCCCTCTGCAGGTAGGTCAGGGCCCACTGCATTCGAGGGGTATTGGTGAACTGTATCTTAGGGCATTTCTCATCTTGGGGCCATGGACAGCCAGCCACAGACGGCTGCCCCCACCAGTCTGAAACTCCAGTATGTGATTTCACAGACCCAGCATTCATATATTTATTTAGTTGACCAGCCAAACCACTCACTGAATGCCAGCCACACATGTGCATGGCACTGTGTGAACCTCTAGGTACACGGACAGAGATATATGTAAGCTCTTGCCGTCACGGAACTAGTATCACGCTTAGTCACAAAGACGAGGCAAAGATGCAAAAGGCCTTCATCGTAAGCCCGAACACGCTAAGTCCCAGAAGAGAGCATAAACACTATGCAAAAAGATGTCTAAACATTTAGGGGCGCTTGGGTGGCTAGCCAGTTTAGTGTCAGACCAGCTCAGGTCATGATCTCACGATCTCATGGTTTGTGAGTTTGAGTCCTGCATCGCGCTCTCTGCTGTCAGTGTGGAGCCCGCTTCAGATCTTTGGTCCCTGCCCCCCCCCAAATAAATAAACATTAAAAATACATTTGTGTGGTTCTCTAATTTGTTGGAAAGAAATATCTGGGTTCAGCTGTCATGAGCACTCATGGAGCACCTACTGAGAGCCTGGCTCTGGCTTAGGGTTTAAAATGCAATGTTGAACAGAACAGTGCAATAGTTTTATCAGCCACACAGCAGTAAGTCCCAAGGAAGGTTTAATTGTCTTATACAGGAAGTTCCATACCCACGTCTCTATGTGACAGGGCAGAGGAGGTGTTACGATGGGCTATGTCCCCTTAGACCTCACCTGGAAGTTATTCTCTTCATCCTGGAAGCAGAGCTTAAAACACTAGTTCTGTTGACTAAACATAGAGGCAGGAAGTAAGTGCAAATAAACACTGAGAACTGGAAACTAGATGGAGCCCTTTTGCAGAGGGTATTGGGAGAATGCCAAGTTTCCCTAGCAACATGATTCCTGCAGGTTTCCACTCTCACAGTAAACTCTGGATAAGTGCAAAGGCAGAGGCTGGAGTGGGGCCCTGATGCCACCCACCACACCACAGAGACTCGTGGGGCATGAATGGGGACAGTGAGGGACACACAGGCGTGTTCGCTGGCACCTAAGCAAAAGGATCAGGTGTTGACTCTTAATCAAATATGACTAAGTGTCCACTGGTTCCTTAGTTGGGGTGGGGATGGAGAGTTTAGAAATTAGTATAGAGTCCAGTTAGGTAGCCATTTTTGTGCATTATGAGGCTTATGTTAAACTGTAAGCAAACTGTGTGTCATTGTCATTACAAGGAGTGGATTGAGTGGTCTTCTACGAATTCTTTTGTAGTCTTTATAGAGGGCAAGACAACAAGATCTTCTTACTTGCTGTTCCAGAGATACCGGGCTTGGGGGCCCCTAGCGTTAGCTGTCAGTCAACACATGTTTACAGGGTGCCTGATGTAGAGCTCTTGAACGCGCTGGCTGGCTCTCGCTGGTTCCTGGAGCGAGTGGTCCAGGAGAGTGATTCCTGCGACCCTCATCTTCACCCCCATGCAGTTGATTTCTGCACACTTTGGCCAGTTTAGCAATACATCGAGAAGAATGTCTTTATGATATCACATAACATTTCTAAGCTGTTTCTTTTAAGTGTTGCTGAATATTGCTTCAAATTTAATTACCCATTTCTTCAGTTAATCTCATAATTAATGTAAAAACTTCTAATGGAGGGGAACTGGAAGGAAATAAATCAAGTTGGCAACATGGACATATTTGTATGGAAACATATCCCAATATTTTGAATCTTAGAGTTAAAGTTGTCTATATATTTCCAATTTACTTTAACGCAGATGCTTTACTTTTAGAATAGAATGAAAAGTAAGTCTAAAGGTAAGTCTGTCTTCTACCAGGGAGGCTACCCCTTGGCAATGAAATAGGGCTTGTGACAAATATCAACAGACAGGGTAATATACTGGGTCCCCTTCCATCAAAAAGTTACTAAAAATGTTGATAATAAAACCTAAGACACATTGATGATTTGTCAATAAGGTTCTTCGGCCAAAAACTAAATAAATATGGGAACTCAGATATATAAAGAGATTGTTGACGCTAACTTTTTCTCTGAAGACATTTGCAAAACTGAGTGAATCTGGGACAGGTTTTAATGGTCTCATGAGGTACGGAGAGCAGGAAAAAATCTCAGGGCTGGCTAAGGTAGAAGATCGTACAGGAATCTCTCCTCCCTTTAACACTAGATCCCAAAGAGACATAACTTTCATGGAAGGACAAACCAGAAATAAATGCAGGAAAATGAAATGTCTGGTGTCAGATACCAGGCAGAGGAGGGGAAACGGATACTGAGAATTTGGACCCCCAGAGTGGTACTCACACAGGGTTTTATACTACTTAGTTATTTCAAGCTGAGCATTTAATTTAGAGCAATCCTACAAAGTGCCTCGCAGAAATGAGTACAAATACTCTTTGAAGAAACCAGCGTGCTTCTCAGGCCTCAAAGCACTCCCATCAAAGGTGTGTAAGAGTTGCAGTAAAACAAATACGTAAATAATGAGGCCTCATGAGTGAATGAGATCTGGGATGTGCATGTGGAAACTGTCATTCAATTTCTTTAGGTAATAAAATTATTAGCCAGATGATAGTATAATAGATATAATATGCTTAAAGAAATAAAACACAAACTGCAAATATCTTGCAGAGAACAAGAAACTATACACAATAAAAAGTTTTGAAAAATAACTAAATGGAACCTCTAGAAACAAAGACTACAACACAACATTAAAAAAACTCTATGACGAGTTTCACATCAGATGTGATATAGTTTAGGAAAGAATTAATGTATCGCAGCTATCATAGAAGAAATTACCCAGAAGGTAGCCCAGAAAGACAGAGATGGAAAATATCAAAGAGATGTGAGAACACTGAAAATAGAGTGGGAGAGTGTAACATACATCTAATCAAAGTCCAAGAGAAGAAAAATAACGGAATCGAGACTAGATTTGGCCATATAATGTCTTAGGACTTTCCAAAACTGAACAAAAGCATAAATCTATAGATTCAAGAGGTCAAAGAATCTTAAGCATTATAAAGAAAAAGCTAAACCCATACCTAGACACATGCTAATGAGATTACAGAACAGTAAAGACGAAGAGAAGATTTTAAAAGCACCCAGACAGAAAGGGACAACAGTTAAGTTGAAAGCTGAGTGCTCAGCAGCAGCCACAGAGGCCAGAACACTGTAGAACAACATCTTTCATGGACTGAGGGTAAGTAACTATCAACTAGAATTTTATATCCATTAGAAATTTCTCTTAAACACCAGGGCGGACCGAATGGTAAACTTCAGATAAACAAAACTGAGAGAGGTTACTGCCAGAAGACACTCACTTAAAGAAATGCTAAAAAATCTACTCCAGGCCGAAGAAAAGTGATCCCAGAAGGAAAGTATTGCTCGCACGAATGTAAAAAGAGCAGGCATGAGTGTGAATCTGGATACAGCAATAAGGTCTCATGGGGCAAGGCAGAGACCGGTTGCATGGTTCTCATTCACTTCTGCTCATCTCAGGCACGAACGAAGACTGTTTTCCAGTTTTACTTGCAAATAGTTGAGGTTGTTATTGGATTCTGGCTGATACAATGCAGATGGAGACAGAAGTAGAGTACGCCACTTTCAGGCATAGCCACGAAACATGCACTTTCTCATTCCCTCCCACGGCTACCATAAAGGCCACCCAGTGAAGATGGTGACATCACACCATCCTGGATCCCTGGGTCGCTCCTTGGAGCAGCCACTCCAGGAGAGCTTCCCAACTAGCACTAACCGGTCTGTGAAGCAGAAACCTCTATTATGTTCAATCACAGACATAGCGATTCTCACCGTAACTGGTGTACTTATCTTAAGGAATGTAGAAATTGGTACACTGAAAAGAGCTGTCACCATTTCAAGACATCAGATGTGTGGCGCTGGCTTAGCGGTCTTGTCATGGACAGAAAAGAAACTGGAAGCTTGGAAAGTGCTGATCCGCGTTGCATGGCAGAACTGTGGCCTGCAATAATTCTGGGGCAGGTCACGAGCTTCAGGGGCCCGTAGCCCTAAGGGAGGGGTTTATAAAACAGAACCTGAGTATTGTGGGTCAGCTGCAATTGGTTACATTTGTCAAGAGGTTACAAGAAAGAAATGAACTTGGAGAATATTGGCTGATTAATAAGAAATAAACGGAAATAGAATCCAGATGTTTAGAGCCTTGAAACTTTAGGAAAATATGCTGCTTTAGTTAAGCAATGGGATCAAGTCTTTAAGTATTGAAGACCAACTAAATTTGTCAATGAAATAAAGCAAATAGTAGCAAAGATTATATTGATGTTGCGGCCACCATTTGAGAGCTACAAGCTGAGACAGAAAAGGCATGGAGGCGAAAAAGCAAAGAAATAACGGAGAATTGAGAACTTTGTCAAAGGCAGCACTGTGGGAGTGCACAGTACAGAGAGGTCTGAAGCCATCTCTGTCCTGAAGGATTTGCTTTGCAAAAGAAACCACGAGCCGTGACTGAAAAAGCCTTTGACTGTTTAAAGCTGAAAACAAGCGTCGGCCATCTTTCCATGAGCAGGAGGCAAGCTCTGAAGACG